CACAGTAAAGCTGGCTCTGCTGGTGTAAGTGTAGGTGAGCTGACCCTGAGGGCATAAAAGCAGGAGAATCTCCCCTCCACTTGCTCCTTGCTGCATAGGATAAACTAGCTGGAGCAATGCTGGAGAGCTCACCCTGGTAGTGAGGACAGGGAAGAGCTGGTGGGCTGACCAACCCTGAAACTACCCAGGCCCAGACCCAGGGTTATGAGTTGGCTCACCCCAACATCCCACCCCATCGGTGATCTGCTGGAGCATGTGAAGGGGCACATCCTCCAGAACCAAAGCTGGAAGATCTCCATGACTCAGGGCAACAACAAGATATCCAGGAGGAATCTCAGTGAGAATCTAATATTGATAGTGTAGCAGAAGCCAGAGGACTCAAACTAGTCCAGTGACTCATTAGTGAACATTTGCACGTAAAGATATATGGAAAAGGGGGTCTACTGCATGACTCACTGGGTCACACTAAGCTTCCATGATAAGGTTTTTCTTTTTAGTTTTTAATTTTCTCTTAAATTTTATTTGATTTGATTTTTCTGGAAGGTTGTAAGGGCGGCAGGCAGATATAGAAGGACAGGAAGATGAATGTGATCAAGATACATAAGGTGAAGGACACATAATAAACAGAAAATTTAAAAAGGGGGGAGCATTAAGAGCTCATTAGTTGATTGACTGAAACACAGCAGAAAAGATAGTGACCTATTGTAAGCAAGTTGTGGGGGTGCCTGCTATGTCCTGAGTTATAACGGGGGAAGGAATTTTTTATTAAATATTTTTTGTTCATTTTACATATCAACCACAGTTTCTCCTCCCTCCTCTCCTCCCACTCTCTCCCCACTCCTCCTTTCTACCCCCCACCCACCCATCCCACCATCCACTCCCCAAAAGGGTAAGGCCTCCCATGAGAGTCAACAAGGCATGGCATATCAAGTTGAGGCAGGACCAAGCTCCTCTCCACTGCATCAAAGTTGAGCGAGACATCCAACCATAGGAAATCAGTTCCAAAAAGCCAGGGACAGATCTTAGTCCCACTGCTAGGGGCCTCACAAACAGACCAAGCTACACAACTGTCACCCACATGCAGAGGACCTAGGTCGGTCCCATGCAGGCTCCCTCCCTGTCTGTCCAGAGTCTGTGTCCCAAGAGCTCGGGTCAGCTGTGGGAGAAGGAGTTTGAAGGCTGTACACTCCTGGGCTTGCTCTGTATGTTCAAGGCCTCAGACAGACTACACCACAGCTTCCTTGATTCTGGAGACTTGGGATTTGGACTAAACCACACTCCTGGTGTTTCAGGGTCTCCACCTTGCAAATACCCTGTCAAGTGATTAATCAGCCTCTGTAAGCATTTGAGTCAGTCTCCCTAATTGATCCTCTTCTGTATGTCTCTATTGTGAGAAACAAGACCCCTCCCCACTCTCTAATAACAAATTCAAGACACTTCAAGTAGCAAAAGCCTGGCGGTTCTGTTTTTATTTCTGCTGAACAAGTCATTAACCCAAAGAAAGGTCAATGAAGGTGACACATGATTAGCATGAAATCGTGGTTTTTATTTTAAACAGAATCCTTTGCTCGCTCGCTCTCTGTCATTGACTGGGTGCTTCTGGAGGAGAAATCTTCCCAATGTCTGATACAGCCATCACTCCAAATTTGTTTAAGTTTTTTTTTTTTTTCTAGTTTAAGTTCTGTGCTCTGAGAACTTAAAATCTTATCTAGTGTACATCCTGGAGCTCAAACATTCCTCTTCCTTCCTGATACATGGCCTTGGTTATTTAACATATTGTAATGTTTTAGCCCTAAGATAAACTAAAAGTGCTCACGCAAGCAGACGCCAGCTGCTAGGAAAGACAGGATCCAATGCCTCCTGCCTATTTAAAGCCTAAAAATTTACATCTATCTCATGCACCTCTGGTTTAGGAAATTGTCCTTTTGTATTTTATTTCTTTTTTTTTTTTTTTTTTTTTTTTTTTTTTTTTTTTTTTTTTTTTTTTTTTTTTTTACTTTTTTATATTTTTATTTTATAATTAATTTAATTAATCTTACATATCAGCCACAGATTCCCCTGTCCTCCCTCCTCCCACCCTCCCACCTTCCCCCACAATCTACCCCCCATTCCCACCTCCTCCAAAACAAGGTCTCCCCTGGGGATTCAGCTCAGCCTGGTAGATTCAGTTGAGGCAGGTCCAGTCCCCTCCTCCCTACACCAAGGCTGAGCATAATGTCTCAGCATAGGCCTTTTGTTCCAAAAAGCCAGCTCATACATCTGGAGAGGTCCCAGTCCCACTGCCTGGGGGCCTCCTAAATAGTTCAAGCTAATCAACTGTCTCAGTTATCCAGAGGGCCTGATCCAGCTCCATGGGCGCTCCCTAGCTATTGGCTCATAGTTCATGTGTTTCCACTAGTTTGGCTATTTGTCCCTGTGCTTTTTCCATTCATGGTCTCAGTATCTCTTGCTCATATAATCCCTCCTCTCTCTCTTGCCGATTGGACTCCTGGAGCTCCACCTGGGGCTTGGCCGTGGATCTCTGCATCTGCTTCCATCAGTCACTGGATGAGAGTTCTATCATGACAGTTATGGTGTTCGGCCATCTGATCTCCAGAGTAGGTCAGCTCGGGCTTTCTCTCGACCATTGCCAGTCGTTCAAGTTTACCATTTGTCTAAATTCTATACTTTTCTCTTCTTCACATATAAAACTAACAAAAATCATACCATTGAGGTTTTAGACTTTTTATAGCTATAAATGGTTGGTTAACAATTTTAAATCATTTAATTGTTACTTGACCATATTCTGGTACTTTTTTAAAATATTATTTTTCTCATAAAGAGTATCTTTGTGGATGAGATCTACATGAGCAAACTGGATGTGAGGAGGAGTAACGGAGAGTAAGGGTCAGGAGAAAGAGAGCTTAGGGGAGCGAGAGGTCCCAGGTGAATCAGGAACAGAGTGGGAGAACAAGGAAAGAGATACCATGATAAATGAAGACCCCATGGGAATAGGAAGAAGCAGAGTGCTAGAGAGGTCCCCAGAAATCCACAAAGATACCTCCACAATAGACTACTGTATTTTATTTCTTACACCTATCCATCTGTCTATCATTGCCTCCTATAGCTTGTACTTCTTGTATGAACCCTGAATGATATAGGCTCACCAAGAGAAGCCACTTTCTCAAACTCATATAGCAATTGAATTAGTATCAGTAGCAATGAGTAAAACATGATCACGTCCTGTTTACCCAATTTATTTACAAAATGTGGTTGGTAGCTAGTCCCACATTCTGTTTTCTGCCTTCAGAGTTATTCACACACAGTTCTACTGGGAAAGGAGTAGGGAAGAAAACCCTAGGAACTACTCTTTGTTCTTGACACTACTTAATTGTTTTAATCTACATGATTCCTTTTTTAAATGATTTTTCTTTATTCTTGAGAACCTTATGAATGTGTACAATGAAATATGATCATATCCACCCTCAGTTTTCTTCCTCAAAACTTCCCCCATATTCTCTCAACTTTATTTGCAAGCTCAAAAATCAAGTGAAATAAATCTGATTTATTGTACAAATGCCAGCTGAATGATGCATAAGGAGAGCACAAGCACACTCTACTACTCTAGTGGCTAGAGAAACTGTGAAGCAAGGAATTATGGCTGTATGAAGATATGAAGATTTATAGAAGTGTGCCCACTGTGTTCTATGTATGTTCAAGGGGCAGATAACTGATTCTCCAGATGGATTTTTCAATGTCTGATTGGATTCCATTAAGTAGATTATGTTATGAACTTTTTTGTTTCTTTTAAAAATCTAAACAACAACGACAAAACCATTTTTCTCGGTTGCTTTTTTACTACCTCCTATTCACAACCTCCTCTCTAATCACCTTTACAAACATTCTGCCCCTCTGCCCTCCCCACTCCAACCCCTGTTTATATTTTGTGTTCATTTAGGATTGCTGTTTTCTCTTCTCTTTCCCACATACTGTCTCCGGTGATTAACCATTTTCTCTTTGCTTAACTCTTCTCCACCATAGGCTACCTGCTGTCTGATGTTTTGTAATATGCTTTTCTAGTTGTTATGCTTTCTGGATTTGATCCTTATTTTCCCCTTCTAAGTATAGGCATGTGGAGAATAGCTTGCCTTAATTCTATCTCAAAATAATTCTCCTAGCATCCTGATCTTCTTCATTTAATAATCACATCTCATAACCATCTCATAATAAAAGTCTAAAACTAAGCTTCTATATTTAGTTTGTCTCTGCTACTCTTCACTATTCAGATTCCTATATCACTGCTTCCCTCGCCCACAATGTTATCAATATTCAGTTTTATTAAAAACTCAAACACTCAATATATCAGTCAAACTGTTGTCTGTCTAACTATCTTTTAAAGTGTTAACAGCTTGAACCAATTTCCTCTTTGGTCCTTTGATGTAGGATCCTGTGTAGCCCAGGTTGGCTTCTAACTCTCTATGTAATGGAGGTTGGCCTTGTGCTGACATTCTAGGCACACATGCCCAGATCTACCAAATGTGGGGTAAATATTTATCTACATGTGTTATACATGATCATTTCTTGTTTTTCTATTGAATTCCTTTCAACTCAAGTCTTAATCAATTTATTCTTCATTCATCACATCTACCTGAATGATAAAACACTCAGAGTGTCCTTGATTTTGCCTATCCATCTCACTAGACTGAATGACTTAGAGGTATTCCCTATTACTCACTACTCACCAATTGGTAAACATCACTGAACAATGACTATGTTAGTGAATATACTGATGAATCAGAAGATATACATATTTTTATAAAATGTTGTACCTTTGAAAAAGCCATTATCACTAGGGTGCAAAATATTTCCATATAGAAAATTATATATCATGTCAAAAATACATATCTAGATAGGGGTGAATATGGATAGATGTATATCATGCCCAACTATAGTTGTTTAGAATTCTAAAAAGAATGAAGAGCAAACATTACCTGATTATCTAAGTTTAGTTAAATTCTCAGCCTATTTCCTCCTTGTTTTCCTTTTGTTCATGGTTGTGGACATACAATAAGAGCTAACTTATTCCTTGATGACTATCCAGAACGAATGTTTGTGAGACTATGACACAAAAGAAGGAAATTGGAGTGGATGATATCCTGAAAAGGGGGATGTTTAGAAGATCAGAAACAGCGTAACTAAAACGTTGGCTTCAGAGAACAGTCTAATTGTAAAACCGGCAGAATGTGGAGCAAACCAATTTTGCCATAATTTTGTAAAGGCATTTAAAGGCTGGCTTTCAGGAGTCTACCATGAAGCAGATTGTTCTGGTCCCCTGGTGCTTATGAACCAATAGGAGAAGGTGTTTCCCCTTTGTCTTCCAACTCACTGTAAATTGGTGAATAAACATTTAGTTCTTCATAAAGACGATCGTCTGTGACCTAATAAAGAGAAAAACGATCCCATATCAATTACCCAGAATTTCCCATTGCTAGAAGGTTTATCAAACAGGAATCTCTTCTTTTGTCTTTTTTAATTTCACCCTAACTCTCATGACACTCAAATTATTCCCTTAATGTCTAGAAATCAAATCAGATGGGCTGGCCAATGGGGGCTAAAAGAAACCATGTCAGTGACAAGTTACTAAGGCTACTCTGTTTCTGAAATGGTTTATCTTCTGACTCGGGACTGTGGTTATAAGAAGTGTAGAAACTGGAGTGTGTCTAAAGTGGACATGGAGGGTGAGCGATAGGTTCCATTTGTCAGATTTGAGTTAGTACAGTGGCTGAGAACTGGAAATCCCCATCGAGGGTATAATGAACGTGTGTAGCAGGTGAAAACATAGTTGTCACCATGAGTCAGGGGAGAAAAAAAACTTGAGGCTTATTTAGAGCAATAGAGAGAGGAAGAAAAATGCATTTTGGGGGGAGAAAAGGAGAGGGCAGAAACAAATGAACAAGCTCTTCGGGAACAAAAAAGAAAAGTAAAACCCTAACAGCTGCATGTTTCTATCACACACTGCCATTAACTCACTTCTCACACGCGGCCCCTTCAAAGCACCCATAATTTCTAAAATTATAAAGATTCCATTTGTCTAACCCTCAGGGGACTGTGCTGTGACCACATGCCATTTCAGTGTGAAAAATAAGTTTTCCAATATGAGATATGAAAGCCAGTTCTTGAGAAGTACTTTTTCAGAGGGGGGGACAAAGAATAATTGTGGAAAATTAAGACCGTGTTTTAAAAGAACAAAGCACCAACTCTTTACCATGCTCTTCAGGACTTCCTACTGACCTTATTATTTTTGAGTTCTTCTCCAAGCCTATGGGTAGTGAACAGCACAGCACTGCAAAAGGCCAAGATGGTGAGGAACAGCATCATCAGCACCATTTCCTGCCAAACAACAGCAGGCAAAGTCACAGACAGATGTACGCCCCCCACCCCACCCGCCCAATCCTTTCCCTTACAGAAGCTCCCTCTTTCATCCTCTCTCAGGAGCACACTTTATAAACTGACATGCACATAGGAAGCCAGGGGTGGCTATTTGGAGATGATAACTCTAAGCTTAAGGAATGTGGCCAGGAGTGAGAGTAAGGCCATGAACCCCTCAAAGTTCATAACTCTTTGAGATGGAAACTCCAAATGGGAGGATATTGTCTCTGGAAAAGAAATGGGGCTTCACACTTAGGCCGAGACCCAGAGAGTCAGTGTTTTCTCAGGAGATACATACTGTGACAAAAGACGCCACGAAGCAGCCATCGTCCTCGCTTAGGTCCTTACAGTAGTTCATATAAGCGGAACTGTGGCTCAGATTGAGGATCAGTATAACAATCCCTATTCCTGCAGTGATACTGCTGACAACGTTGGCTCCCAGGCTTCCTCTCACCTGCTGGCAAAAGAACATTCAGCCGTGTAGTTCCGTGTGGCAGCAGCCAATCAACTGATCTGTCTTTCAGAGCTGGTCCTGTACAGTAACTCAAAGCTGTCTAAAACTCCAGTTAAATAGGTAACTCTTGCAAATGTACTCATCATCTAGTAAGCATCCATTTCCCTCTGGGATGCCTTCAAGAATAGCACAAGGGCTGGGGATGTAGCTCAGCAGTGGACCACAGGGGTAAGCCTTGCAGAAGGTCAGAGGCTCAATGCTCAGCATTTAAAAAAAAAAAAGGACACATACATGCATAGTCTATCCTCAGGTCATCTCTGTTGGAAACTAATTGCACAGCCATAAGACTCTATTTAAATACGTACAAGGACAATACCTGCATGGGTCCCTTTTAAATGGTGTCAAAATAATCAAATTTCACTGCTTATTAAGTGACACAATTTATGTTTCTAATGATTTTATCCAACTTTTGCTGTAAAAAGCCTTCCATCACAAAGGAATTGAGGTGAACCACATATCCGCACTCTCTGTAATACAGCTGATACTGGGGGGTCTCCCTTAACACCCCTGAAATTCCACTTGGAAGAATGAATAAAAACACAATGCGACTCACCAGATACAGTGTGCTTTTCCTTTCAGACATAATTGACAAAAATCCGGACAAAACAAACTGTCCAAAAAGAAACAGGAGAGAAAGGAAAGTGAGTCTCTGCTCTCTGGGATGTTCCTTCCTCTACCCTTGAAATACAAAACAAGCTTTAGGTGCTCCATAAGGCTATCTAATAAAACCTCTCATGAGACCAGTATTCATTATTATTTCCCATAAAGTGCTTCAAAAAGGGCCTGATCCAGTTGGGGGCCCCTCAGCCATTGGTTCATAGTTCATGTGTTTCCATTCATTTGGCTATTTGTCCCTGTGCTTTATCCAACCTTGGTCTCAACAATTCTTGCTCATATAAACCCTCCTCTTTCTAGGTAATTGGACTCCCGGAGCTCCACCCGGGGCCTAGCCATAGATCTCTGCATCCAGTTCCCTCAATCATTGGATGGGGTTTCTAGCGACAATTAGGGTGTTTGGCCATCCCATCACCAGAGTAGGTCAGTTCGGGCTGTCTCTCGACCATTGCCAGCAGTCTATTGTGGGAGTATCTTTGTGGATTTCTGTGGGCCTCTCTAGCTGAGGGGCCCCCAACTGGATCAGGCCCTCTGAATTGGTGAGATAGTCGATTGGCTTGATCTGTTTGGGAGGCATCCAGGCAGTGGGACCGGGTCCTGTGCTCATTGCATGAGTTGGCTGTTTGAAACCTGGGGCTTATACAGGGTGGTTTGGCTCGGCCTGGGAGGAGGGGACTGGACCTGCCTGGACTGAGTCTACCAGGTTTATCTCAGTCCTCGGAGGAGGCTTTTCCCTGGAGGAGGTGGGAATGGGGGGGTTGGTTGGGGGGAACGGGAGGGGGGCGGGAGGGGTGAGAACAAGGGAATCCGTGGCTGATATGTAGAACTGAATTGTACTGTAAAATAAAATTAAATTAAATTAAAAAAAACTCTTTCACACCTCATAAAAATATGTTGTACAACTTTGCATAAGATTATGTATTTAAAACAAAGTTACAAAAATATACTCAAAAATAAAGAGAAAGTATAAAATAAAAACAAATAGAACATAAAAAAAGTGCTTCAAAAAGTCAATTGCTTATACAAACCATCTGAAAGTCCTGATAAAATGCAGGTTCTGAACTGAGTATGGTGGCACATGCCTGTGATCCAAGTACTTAAGAAGCTGAAGAAGGAAGGTTGTAAGTCTGAGGAAAGCCTGAGCTGCACTGTGAGAAACAGAAAAGGGAGCATTCAGGCTTAGTCATTATGTCTTAATGGGACCTGCGGCTCTTCACTTTTTTTACATGGCTCCCCTGTGAGGTGGACTTTGCTACTTCCTGGGTAGGCAGCAAGGGTTAGTGGCATCTGGTGGGCAAGAGCAATAGCAGTCTCATTGATTGTAATGCTTTGTTCGCACGACCTGTCTTACGCGGTCGGCTCCTCCAGGTCAGAAACCTGTATCCATGCTGTGCATACCTATGGAGGCTGCTCAGTAGCACATGGTCGTATAGTTAACTATGAAAATGTAAATGTGGGAATATTTAGTAAAAGTAAAAGGTGAGACCTCAAATTCAGAACACCATCTAAGAAGCTGACATGTGTGTGTCCGGGGAGCACTTAAAAAGCTAAATATCTGAGCCTATGAGATGGTCCGGCAAGTAGAAGTACTTGTAATGCAACACAGACTCGATGGCCTGAGTTCAATTCCTGGATCCCACAAGGTAGCAAGAGAGAAATGGCATTCCAGAATTGTTTTCTGACCTCCACATGAGCACCATGGCACACACACGTGCACACACACACACACACACACACACACACACACACACACACACACACGGGGGGGGGGGGGGAAAGAGGGGGGGAGAGAGAGAGAGAGGAAATAATTTTAAAGCTAAATGTTTGGAAATAAAGTAGAAAGAAAGTTCAAGGAAAATATGGTAGATGGTCAAGAAGATTCTTGAGCAAGTGACCAAGAGATCTGAGAACTACATACTTAGCAGTATATCAAACCAATGTGATGTTTTTCTTAGATTTAAATATATCTTTATAACTGAATTATCAATAAAAGTAATACACAATAATGAGCTGGGCGGTGGTGGCGCAAGCCTTTAATCCCAGCACTCGGGAGGCAGAGGCAGGAGGATCTCTGTGAGTTCGAGGCCAGCCTGGTCTAAAAAGTGAGTTCCAGGAAAGGCACAAAACTACACAGAGAAACCCTGTCTCGAAAGAAAAAAAAAGTAATACACAATAATGATATGGAATGATGGAATATAGGCACAAGAGACCTTGCAGCATGCAATTTTATTTCTACAATGCTCTAAACATTGAAAACTAACTTTCAGTCTTAGTGATCTGGATGAGAAGTCAGGGAGCATCGAGACAGGACGAGTTGTAAGGAAGTGAATGTAACTTTCAAAATCATAGACAGACTCCTTGTACTGAGGGTGACATATATGCTAACATTTTATGTGTGTGTGAGAGTCAAATTTTATCAAATTCTACACCTTGTATACACAGAGCTCTTCTATACACAGAATGTGCTCTCATTCAACCACCTAGTTTCTAGATAGTAGGATGTTTAAAAAGGAATCTAGCACATTAGTGGCCAAAAGCATGCCAAGGGCCCAACAGATGTCCATCCAGTATTGCTACCTTGTTCTCACCTGAGCAATATTCCCCCCTCTTTTCTTAAAGACAACCTTTTATGCTATTGTGGGGTTTTTTTTAGATTTTTAAAAAATTTATCTGCAAGTGTGTACGTATGTCTGTGTATGACATATTGGCCCAAGAATAACCAGAGGAAGGTTCTTATCCCCTTGAGCTGGAGTTACAGGCAGTCGTGAGCACCTGACATGGTACTGGAAACTGAACTTGGGTCCTGTGGAAGAGCAGCAAGCACCTTAACTACTAAGTCTTCTCTCCAGCTTAACTTAGTTTTTATTAATGGATAAAATACATGTACTTAGTATGTAATTTTATTAATAGTATTAATGGCATTTTCTTAGAATACAAGTGTTAGGTAAATCGTTTAATATCTTTTTTTTTTTTTTGGTTTTTCGAGACAGGGTTTCTCTGTGTAGCTTTGCACCTTTCCTGGGACTCACTTGGCAGCCCAGGCTGACCTCGAACTCACAGAGATCTGCCTGGCTCTGCCTCCCGAGTGCTGGGATTAAAGGCGTGCACCACCACCGCCCAGCTTTTAATATCTTAAATATTAATGTATTATTTTTACAATTTCATAAAGTCTCAAGTTTTTCAGTCAATAAGTATGTTAGTGGTTTAAACCACATCTAAGGGTGATAAGAATCTTTTGCTCTTGTTAATGAGTTATATGTGGAGAGAGCTTTGGAAACTGAATTTATAGATGCTATATGCATATAAGTGAAAAATTGTAGATTTTATCAAAATGCTAGAGATATATTGATTTGATGAAGAGAAAATCTCTGATCAGCATTATTTCAGAAACAATTACAGATGTGTTCTCACCAGCACTGCTCCCCAGAATGGATAGCCCGCTCTATACGATAAAAGTACTTCTTCATCAAAGTCTGAAATATGGAGTGCAGAGTAGACAATTGTTCCAAAACAAAGGCATATCAAGCCAACCAGAATTTGTGTTGCCTGTGGAAAACATGAACTTTATAAAGTTAGGATATATTTTCTCAAGGGTATACCAATTTCTCTGTAAGACTGAACATGAGAAATCTCTTTAGTGTCTCACGCCTTCCTGAGATTGAACCAAATGTGAGATTCTCTACTGTCTTCTTTTCAGTATAAAGAATGGAACTATGACTAGTAGGCTCTAATGTACACATAGTTAATACGTGTCACATCTTTATTTCCATCATTTTGGTGGATGTGAGTAATTATTTTTCTATCTAAGTAACAACAGACATTATGTATCTATCCTTCATTCCTGTTCTCTATCCATGTCCCAGTCACTTAAAGTCTTCTTGAGAAAATGCTTATCTCTTCCCAGAATGCGCAAAGAGTTCCATCAGTTCCTCACCTATCAAAAATGTTACAGGACCTATCCTCCTCATCAGCCCACTAGAGGAAATTTTAATATATCCAAATAATTTTTTCTAGAGCCAGCCTGAATTCAAGTTGATAATGGAGGCTAGGCACTTACCCCCAGGAACTCCAAATCTCTCTTCAAAACTGTCTGCCATGTCTGCTGTGGTGGGGGTGTCGCTGGCTTCTCTGGCAGAGCTTTAGCAGGAGGAGATGCTTCCAAGAGCTCAATGTCAGGCGCACTGAAATTTACAAAATTCAATCATATGAAAATTCTCTAACTCTCTATGTTAAGTTGTTAACTGTCAGAAACTGGAGTGTTACTTGTTAATTGTGTTTCAGAAGCATCCAGCAGTTGAACTCTTTAGTGTAGTGCCTGAGAAGAAGACTCGGAGAGTCAAAGCAATCAACCATGGACATTTAAATATTATCTAAGTGTTTATATAGAACAGAATAGAACAAAAACCATGCCTCATACTCTTGTTCATCTCAAGTTGCCATAAGTTCCTTCTACCAATCTCTGTCTATAATTAAAACAAAAACAATCAAATATGCTTGTCTGTCAGCTTCAAAGTCATTTTAGCATAGAAATGCATCTGCGTGTGTTTCGTCAAATGCACACAACTTCACACACAGAGGGATTAGTTCAATCTCCATTCCTATTTTAATCTTGGGTGCAGGATTCCATGCCCTAAATTTAACAAAAGCCAACCTGAAATGCGGTCATCTTAGAAAGCCTCTGACCCCTATAACACACATCAGATATAGAGGTAACAGATCTGTATGTTCAACACCCCCATCTCATATCCCAAACCACAAGTCTCTAGTGTTAGAAAATATAGTATCCCCAGTTTTCAAGCCAAGTAAAAACCTTGCTGCCAACTTCTGAGAGAAAAAGACACTAAGAATGTGTAATCAGCACAGTTAAGTGACTTAACTTGAGTCTGTGAACCAATCTATGAATTGGCATCTGCCTGCCCAGCACTGTGAATTTCTCTGTCTTGGATAAATAACTTCAATGGAAAAAGCAATAGTCCTTGCTTACCTGGGGGATTCTTGTGGGTTTGGGAGAGCAAGATCTGCTCTGCTCTTATTTTCTGTGTCCATTTTTTCATGAATTGAGCTACCCAGGAATGAAGGATACTGTTGTGCAGAGATGTGGTGTGCTCTGGGTGGACAGTTAAGATGGGCTGACTCTGAATACCAATGACTATCTTCATGCAGATAAGTCTCCCAGCTGATTGATATCAGTGGTTCTTTTCTCTTGCTATAATGGAAAGTAATAAGACTGACACGTTTACTGAATAGAGAGCAGGATGAACGGAGAAACTTGAGCATTTTAGAGCATAATTCTGCCTAAGAAGTGGGATTAATGGAACCTAATAGTGAAGCGTCTAGGCTCTGAGAGGATAAAAGAGAGAAGTAAAAATAGATGTGCTCTTTAGAAACTTCATCTGCTATGTCACGAGTTCTTCAATTTGTTTTCATGTGTGGCCTCAAAGCTGAAATGTGTGTATTAGCACTAGTCTCAATTTCAAAATGTATCTGGACTTCGCATCCTCTCTTCCCCTTCCCCTCCCACTCCTCTTCCCTCTCTCCTCCTCACCTCCTTCTCATTCTCTCTTCCTATCTCCCAGATAGTATTTTCTATCTGCAGCAAATGATCTTGAAAACAGGACCCCCATGCCACTGAAACTAACCAATGTACTATTTGAATCAAGAAATATGCCTTTCATTGCTCTCCCATTCCGTCCCTCCCCCAGCTTGATCATCCCATTCCCTCATGTTCCTTGATAGAGGGAGAGATTATGGGGTAAGGGAGAAACCTGGTGCTAGGGAAATTCCCAGGAATCCACAAGGATGACCCCAGATTAGACTCCTAGGTATAGTGGAGAGAGTGCTTGAATTGGCCTATCCTGGTAATCAGATTGGTGAATACCCTAACTGTCATAGAGCCTTCATCCAGTAACTGATGAAGCAGATGCAGAGATCCACAAACAAGCACCAGGCCAAGCTCCAGGAGTCCAGTCAAAGAGAGGGAAGAGGGATTATGTGAGCAAGGGGTGGGAGTCAAGATCATGATGGGGAAATCTACAGAGACAACTGAACCAATCTCAAAGGAACTCACAAACTTTAGACTGACAGCTGTGGAACCTGCACGGGACTGGACAAGACCCCTGGCATACGGGAGACAGTTGTGTAGCTGTGTCTGTTTGAGGGGCCCCTGGCAGTTGATATGTAAAATGAATAAAAAAAAATTTAATTAAAAAAAGAAATATGCCTTATCTGAATGTTTCCATGGCAACTGCTGCAATCTTTATAATGGTAAAAACAAGACAAGGAAAATATGGAGGGATGTGAATTCATAAACAGAAATGTTATGAGCAAATCTGAATGGTAGGAACTGAGCAATATGTCTGCCCAGACAAAGTGTTCACTCAACTATATTACAACTAACTACCCCAGAACACAACAAACAAAGGGAATTCACAGGTCTGCCTTGCTTATATTTCAGTTTAACTCTGTGAATGTTCTTTTATTACTGCAAGATACTCTGCATGATACCCTAATTGCCTGAGTTATTTTCCTGAGATATAAAATATCTCAAGAGAAATTAAGATACGTATATTAATAGAGGATTCTGATGTACATATTGCCAAATCTTTCCTAACAAAATTTCATTGCCCCAGCTCTACTTTCTTTCCTCTGTATCTTTGGGAATCAGTGAATCTGACAACACTATTTGAATTAAGGAATAAGCCCCATCTTCTTATTCGTTCATACAGAAAGGGCTTAATGCTATTGTCTGCTCATAGCATGGAGTAGGCACTATTGAGGACCATGATCCCAGACTTCATACAGAAAGGACTTAATGCTATTGACTGCTCATAGCATGGAGCAGGCACTGTTGAGGACCATGATCCCAGACTTATCTATGCCACAGTATTGGAGATGAGAACAAAGAAAACTGATTATCCAGGAGATCAGAGGTCAGAAACTGCTAAAACGTGAAAGAGGTTGCAACAGTACTGCCTGATGGAGCATGTGTAGAGTTCAGAGAAGGAACTGCCAGGGAAGGTGATGTTTGAACCTATCCTTAAAATGAATGGCTTAGAAATCTCATTCCCTACCCAACCTTTGCAAAACCATACATGTCTGCAGGGTGATGCCCTGAAGCAATGTAGTGGTCCTTTACAGTGTCTCCTAGTAATATTTAAATGTTTATATTAAAAAAATCAGAATCCTATTTAAGATTTGGACAGTTAAGAGACTGAGGGTGCCCTTCCATGTTTGGACATAATGCTGTTCTGTGAGAATGGTCAACAGCAATTCATGAAATGCAAATACATTACTGAAAGTGGCTTATGACCTCCCAATTATTTTATGCCCCAGTGTTTATCAACAGCTTCACCCTTCCTGAGATACTAAGCACATCCTGTACTCACAGCCCACTTCCCCACAGCCATGTTGTTCCCCCTTCCATAGCAGCGAGTATCAGAACATATGATCAAATGACTTCCTTTTGGGCTGGCCACTATTATCAAGATGAGTTTTAACCATATGTCTGCCTGGAAGGAAGAGATAACAGAGTTAGCATTTCTTCCCCACTACATAGCATTTCTTCTCTGGCACACACAGACTTTTCACATGCCTCTTACTCTGGCTTTCTTTTTGACTATCAAGTTTGTTTATTTAGTTAGTGTAAGGTGAAAAGGGCCAAGGGAAAAAAACAACCTGTCCCTAACTAGACTAGAGACCAGGGCCAAGGAAAAACACCCTGACCCTGACATGAGCCCAGAACCAGGGCTTGAAATCCCACCAATTCCTGAGCTTGCCCCAGAATCAGGCTACAAAAATCCACTAATCCCAAGCCACCCTGGAAAGCTCTCCCCACCTCCCAAAGAAACCCTATATAAGCTCTGTACGCTGTTCAGTTTGCTGCTGCTTCTCACCCTAGAGGCAGCCACCATCCTGGATTCTTCCTTCTCAATAAATCTCTTGAGTGAGGTTTGTTGTGTGGTTTGACATTTTTGCCAGAGCTGAGCCCAGCTGTAACAATTTTCATCAGAGCCGCAGAGCTATAACACTTTCCCTGGGGAAACTTTTCCCTAGTGGAAAAGAATTGTTACACTCTGAGAGTACAGCAGAGTGGAGTGGAGCAGAACTGTAACACTTTCACTGGGGAAACTTTTGGCTAGTGGAGCAGAGTTGTGCTTACATTAGAGAAACCTTTCCCTGGAGCATAGCTGTAAGCTGCTACGCTTACAGTGACTATGGTATTCCTTGGCTCCCGACTACCAGGATACTTTTCCATCTGAGCTGCAATACTTACAGTTAGATCCTAGATCTTTTTATTATATTTTTTATTTTTCTTAATTTTCATAGAAAGTATTTTCATTATATTCCTTCTCCTCCCCCCAAGTCCTCACACATCCTCCCTACCTCCTGACAAACCCAACTTCATGTTCCTTCTCTCTCTCTCTTTCTCTCAAACAATGAAAAAAAAACACCAAAAATAGGAAAAAAACAAACAACAAACAAAAAAGAATACATACAAACAACAACAAAAAACATCGAGCCCTTTTGTGTTGGTCCACTAATCCTAAGCATGGGACCTTCCCCAGAGTGAGTTGATACCCAACGTCACTCCACTGGACAAAACTGACTTTCCTTCTCATAGCAGGTATGAATTACAAATAGCTCCTTGGTTAAGGGTGTGTCCCCAAATTCAAAAGAAATTTACTTTTAAATCCCTCATGAGAAAATGTTTTCTCAAAGTAAATGCTAAATTTATTTAAAATAAATACGCACAAATTTTCATGTGAAAGATTTTAAATTAGGTTATCTTTAGAAGGTATTTTCTGGTACCTTCCACCAAGGAATTGCAACCTCTGTCTCTCTCATCTCTCATCTTCCTTTTTCCACAATCCCCTTTCATCTCTTCCTTCCTGTCTTATATTCACATTTCCACAACTTAGAGCCATGTCTGCATTCAAAATAGGTGACTAAGAGGCCTGGTGCTGAGGTTCAGTTGGTAAAGATGCTTTCTGACAATCCTGAGGGCCTGGTTTCAATCCCTGGAACTCACCCGGTGGCAGTAGAGAACTGATTCCACAACATTGTCCTCTGACCGCCATATTCACACCATGGGTGTATCCACACATGCAAACAAAAAAAGAAATGTTTTCTATACATATATAATATGATTTAGAATGAAACAGTGTAGACTGACATCGAGCTCCGGTGTTTCATGGGAAATGTGATTACAGAAATGGTCACAGGACAAATGGCTCTAAGAGCTCAAGTACCGAGTGCGAACTTTAAGGGAAAACCTTTATGTCTTCACCCATATGACTTCAGAAATGTTCAGAGCAAGGTTCATGCAGTTCATGCTGGCTCTAAACTTTCCCTGACTCCTCACTGTAGACAGCTTTTGTCTGGTGTTACAACTCATGGGCCAGTTAACTACCAAGGTGATCATCTAACTCATACTAATTCTTATCTGTCCATATACGCTCTGTTATCCAAAAGTGTTGTGGAATATTAGTTTAAGATGAGTTACATTCGTTTATGCTGTGGAACATTTGTTTAATGGCGCAAAGATGTGTTGCAGTCTTTTATACTGCATTTGTTTAACTCTGTAAAGCTGTGTTACTTTGCCTGCCTGAAACACCTGATTGGCTTAATAAAGAACGGAATGCTCAATAGCTATGCAGGAAAGGGATAGGCTGGGATGCTAGGCAGAAAGAATAAATAGGAGGGGAAATACAGGTTCAAAAGAAGAGGGAAGTGAGAAAAGGAGAAGGAGAGGAGGAAGCCAGGGGCCAGCCACCCAGTCACACAACCAGCCGCAGAGTAAGGAGGAAAGAAAGGTACATAGAATAGAGAAAGGTAAAAACCCAGAGGCAAAAGGCAGACAGAACAATTTAAGAAAGTCTAGCTAGAAATAAGCCAAGCTAAGCCCAGGCATTCATAAAAATAAGTCTGTGTATATTTATTTGGGTGCTGGGTGGCAGGCCTCCAAAGAGTAAACATATATATATTCAACTACACAAAAGGGTGTTTCTCATGGGAAAAGTAAGCATGATATATGGTTGTACTTTAAGAAATAAGAATATCTCCTGATAGGGAATATCATAACTATAGACTCACAGACAAGGTTTACATATCAGCTGTCATACTGTGTCATGAATGGTTGCCATGACAGCTTTCTTAAGTCAAACATTCCCCTACCCATGATCCTAAAATCATTACATCTGAATGTTTAACCAAGTCCATTTTTTATTCCACTATAATTCCAGAACTTTTAAGCAATTTTCCATCCTATGCGGCTTGCTTTTTAAATAAAAAATTTAGCTTACAAAATCTTGTACTCATGATCTATGGATAATTGCACAAGACCTGCATAAGGTCAAGGCAACAAGATCAGTCAGCATGCCTATAATAGCACTAAATGGACTGGTGGATTATAAAATGAAAGAGAGAAATAAAGAGAATGTGAAGGGGGAGAGAGAAAAGTTAGGGATTGTCCAGAAGAAGTGGGAAGAAGGAACTGGGGGTGGATTTCATCAAGATACATTGTATACATGGACAAAAATCTTCAAAGAATAAATAAAAGATGTTCTAAAATTATGTTAAGTCAAAATTTTCATATATAACCAGAATGTTAACAAGTTATTTTTTTAATAATTTTTTTTATAAATAAACAAGGATAAACAAGCAAATCATGAAAAAAATGCAGGAGAAATCTGTCCTAGATAGTAAGAATAGATAAGTGATGTTATTAACCTACAATAATGCGTTATCCTAACAAGAGGGGAAAATGTCACTGAACTAGGAAGTGTGTGTACAATTCTTTATCTGAATATTGCAACATTTTAGTGGAAAGTTCTAGAATTTTTAGCTTTCTACAAGGATGTTATAATAACAGAACAATAATGTCATTCTCTATGGATGAAAATGAAATTCATAACTTAAAACATTTAAAAATATAATAATAAAAAGTGAAACAATATCTCAGACCTTGAGGAAAGAAAAGTTTTTTTGTTTTTTCTTTTTACAAAATGAAAAATGCATAAATCATACTTAAAAGTTAAATTGACTACAGCAAGAGTTGGGGAAACCTGAAAAATTGAAGGAAACAAACAACAAAAATGGAAATTATTGACTACAAAATACAGGTCTGGTGAGATAACTCAATTCATAAAGTGCTCACTGTGCAAGCACAAAGACATGGGTTTGATCCTGCATTAAGTAAATTTTTTAAACTGAAATAAAAGCCAGGTGTGGTGCCATACCCTGGTAATCACAGCAGTGGCAAGGAGTAGACAGGAAGAGCCTTGGAGCTCCTTCGTCAACCAGCTGACCCTAATTGATGAGCCCTACTTCCAGTGAGAGATCCAGTCAAAAACTGAGGCATGACACCTGGGGTTGTCCCCTGGCCTGCATACACTCACATCATGAACTCAAGAGCCATCAGATTCTAGATCCAATCCCAGGAGTGTTTAAGTTAAAGTCAATTTCTATTTTCTGAATTTCTCTTGTGTGGCCTTCAGCTTAGTGATTCAGCAACCTTAAGTCGTTATCTCCTAATGGTTTCTATTTCCAGTTATATTTGAGTTATATATTTTATGAGAAAGTTATAAAGCCTCCATCTTAGTGGAGATGACTCCACACTAGAGCCAAACCGTTGTCTGTGGAGATGCCGTGGACCAACACAGTCATCAAGGTAAGTATCTAAATAGAGTTAGATCATTCAGAATGTGTCCCTGAACCTCAAAGTGAGGTCACTTCCACCAAAGACTGAAGGTGTCTGTCAATTCAGGATGTAGGGAATGCTAGTGTTAAAATCACAGTTTCCTTGTACACTGTTAATATGTTCTGATAAGGGATGCTTGAAGACATATTCAAATAAAAGGAAGTAGATTATCTATAACATAATAGAAGTAGAATTAATGAAAAAATGGCCATACAGATGTAAGTGATATAACCTGAATTTGAACCCCAGATCTGTCAGATTTGTCCTTGCTGTTCATGTCTCTACTTTATAGTTTGCCAAGGTCCTTTGAGGAACAAAAGCCACTAATCCAAACCACCACTGTGTTGGGACATGTGCAACTCCCAGAACCTAAGTGAAATAGAAACCAAAGCTTTAAATTTCAAGGATAGTAAAGTGTAAATTAATCACATTGGCTTTGTTTTGTTTTTGTTTTACTTTCTAGATTGCAGTACTGATGTCATCCAAAATCAAGAGCATTTTTTTTCTGTGCTGAAAAAAAATTTGGCTCATTCTCCTTCCCATAAGGTAGATGCAATTTGGATTTTATGGAAAATGCACACAATAGGGATTATAGCTGGATGTGGTAGCTCATGCCTGTAATCTTAGCAGTTGGGAGGACTGTGAGTATAAAATATCAAACTGGGTATGCTTGTGCATGCCTCTAATCCTGAAACTTGGGAGGTGAAGGTAGGAAAATCAGTAGTTCAAATACAGACTTGGCTACGTAGGTTGTTGGAAGCCAGCCTACTACAGGACATGAGATATTGTAGAGAGAGAGAGAGAGAGAGAGAGAGAGAGAGAGAGAGAGAGAGAGAGAGAGAGAGAGAGATCTGGAAACAGCTTTGGAAGAATGACCATCGAAGCTGCAAAATCCAAGAATGTCTAAGGAAATATATTTATTCATCCAGATCTAGAACATGCTAGTGGGTTAACAGGGAAGGGAGAAGGGTTGGAACAGATGCCCAGCTTTCTCATGGGTAGTGCCATGACAGAAGGGTTGCATTCCATCTGCTCATTCTCGCCTGAGTTCTCAAGTGAAGTTCTCACTCTGTGGTGATTTGAGGCTGAGTGTTCAGGTTCTCTCAGAATCACTTCCATCAGGAGGTATTCCTGATTCCACAGAATTAGGAGGTGAAGAAATTGCCTAGAAAATGAGACATCAGTTCTCAATAAGAGGATCATCATCACCCCGACCACTCCATCCTTCCTTATTGCCACCATGATCACTACACTACAGATCCACAGATACTCTTTCACTGATGATTACTCTGTTAAACACTGAATAATAGTTACATGCATATGAATAAGGAGACAAACAGAAAATTTTTATTTCATTTCTATGGGTTGCTGCTACATATGTGGTTTCAGAACTGAATATGGAGATTGTGCAGAGGAAAGTCAATAAAAATCAAATGCATAACCTATCCAAGGTGTTTCTGGTCCTGCTTGCCCCTGTTGAATTGCATGCCTTCACTGTGGACTTGGTTCTGAACACACAGCATTCTGCTGCCACACCACAAAAACACCAGTTGCTCAGGTTGTACACTCTTTGTATGGTATGAATGGCAGCAACTTCACTTCATAAAAGCATAGTAGTGTAACAACAGACAGCAAATACCTGCAATTTTTTTCTACAACTCTTCCTTAGCATGCAAGCATCAAATTAGCATATATTTGGGTTGCTTTGTGTCAGAGTGTTTGATTTTAAAAGTTGCTGTTTGTTGACTTGTTTCAAAAAACATTGTTGAATGAATTTTGACTCAGGATTAGAATAGAATTTTCAGCAGCTTTCGAAATGGCTGTAAACATACTAAACATATTCCTGTCATTTTGTACTATATGTTAATACAAAGCACTATTCTCAGCCTTGACAATAATAAAATCAGAATATTAATCAACTCTCAGGAACAAGATGATATCCATCCTGCAGCATCTAATATATATCCAAGATTTCATTATTATGGAAACATAAACAAGCACATTCATTTCATTAATATGCACATTTGCTTTGGTCTTTAATGTGGTAAAATTACATAGCAACTAATTGTTTTAAATAAATTTCTTTATTATTTATTATCCATAAATGTTTGATCTGAATACCTATTTTGTATAACTACATATGTAGGGCTGTGTAAAGCTTTCTTAGGCAAAAAGAAATTGAAAGTAGAAAATTTTAAGAACCCAAATTAGAAGCTCTAAATATCTAGCAAGAATATGTGACCATCCTGAGTCCGTACAGCTCAAAAGTAAAAACTTATAAAAAATAATTAAAATTAGTTTAACCACATTAAAATATATATTAATATATAGCTTGCATTTTCAAATCTGAATCATTTCCAGCCTTACTTCATCTCACACTTTGATGTAATAAATAATTCCCAGAACCCCACTAATCATAACCATATAAAAGTTTCTCATTCTGAAAGTCAGAAATTACCTCACACATTGTGGAATTTGCAGATGATAGAACTTGCTCATCATTTACACAAACTCACCTCTCTTGAACCACAACCATTTCCTAGGCACCACATGGCTGAGTTGGAAATGGTGATGGCCAGCTCCAGCAGGGTGAGGATCAGCATTAGAGACACAAGGCCCTAGGGAAATGATGCCTCAGATTAAATCAGTGGAAATATTCAGTGGGAAAAATTGTCAGCAAAAAAAAAAAAAAAAAAAAAAAAACAGACTGCAAAACCCTCAACAGGGAATAAAGTGAGATACAAATTAGACAGAAGGTGCAGACACACAAATTCTGAAGAAGAGATCCAGTATCAATCCAAAATCGTAAAAATATTGTCCCAGGAGAAAGACATATGTTATTTCTAGATTGACCTGTGTGAACTAGTGAAAGGGAGAAGAAATCATAGAAGAAAATTTCTGACACTATCACTAACACTTATCAATATAATAAATTACAGAAATTAATACACAGTTTAGCAAAATGGACAAAAAAATGATCCCTCCATGATTCCACCAACAGGATTTCAAAGGGGAGGGGTAGGCATTTCTACTAGGTCAAAGACCAAAATATAATGCTAGCAGAACCATAGCACATTACTGCAGAAGTTACCTTTCTATTATTGCTGATCACCTAGAAGAAATACATAATCAAAATTTTATGGAGGGAAAAATGCCACTTAATCCAGAAAAAATAGACTCAGATAAATATAAATTTAGGTGATTAAAAATACAATAAGGGAAGGACTAGAGAGGCGGCTCGGCAGTTAAAGGCATCTGTGGCTCTTATAGAGGACCTGGGTTCAGTTCCCAGCACCAATAGGGTTTGTCACAACCATCTGTAACTCAAGTTCCAGGAGATCTAATACAATATTCTGATTTCCTCAGTCACCAGGCATGCATATAATGCATATACATACATAATGCAGGGAACATAGACAACATAGTCACATAGTCACACAATCTAGCCCATAGATAGATAGATAGATAGGTAGATAGATAGATAGATAGATAGATGGATGGACAGATGGACGGACAGATGGACGGACAGACAGATAGATAAAGATAAATGTGGCTTAGTTGATAGAGTATGTTCCTAATATGACCAAACATTCCAGACTGCAGAATAACCTGTGTGTCTCTGAAGTTTGTTTCATCAAACAAAGGTATGTGAAATAAATTGTTATTATATTCTCTCTGGAGAGTATAATAAATAGTAGTAATAATAACACAACATGATAGTTAAGCCCTGTTTTTATTACTTATCAAATATTGACATATTGAGTTTTACACCAATTAGACATCAAAATGCCCAACAGTCCAACTAAGAAATGGGCTATAGAACTAAACAGAGAATTCTCAACAGAGGAAACTCAAATGGCTGAAAGACATTTAAGGAATTGCTCAACATCCTTAGTCATCAGGGAAATGCAAATCAAAAAGACTCTGAGATACCACCTTACACCTGTCAGAATGGCTAAGATCAAAAACACTGAAGACAGCTTATGCTGGAGAGGATGTGGAGCTAGGGGAACTCTCCTACACTGCTGGTATGAATGCAAGCTTGTACAACCACTTTGGAAATCAATATGGTGCTTTCTTAGAAAATTGGGAATCAATCCCCCCCAAGATCCAGCTATACCACTCTTGGGCATATACCCAAGGAATGCCCAATCCTTTAGATGGGTGTTACTCATTATTATCTTCACTTCAAAGATAAGAAAATTAAAATATAGACAGTTTATCTAATGTGCCCTTTGTTACAAAACTAATACAGAGCAAAGCCAACATTCAAGTTAACATAGTACATAACACACTGTTTTTCTGTGTATTTTGAATGGTTTGAAATATGTTATTAGCAGTTTTAAAACATACATTTGATGTGGAACCCAGGTAAATGCATAAGTCAGTTGACTGTGAAGACTGGCAACTCTTGAAAGCCTGGGTATTGACTGCCAAATGTACAGAAAGGAAAGCAGTCCCAACAAATGCAATCATAGTACTGGCAATGTTCATCCCAAAACTGCTTTGCATCTAAAATAAAAAAAATAGTTCATTAATATATGTAGAACATCCTTTAACACCTTGGCAACATTCCATTTAAAGAAGTTTCTATTTACACACCCAACAGCATTCTAGATGCAGCACAAGCTCCCATGAGCAAAGATTCCCCCTTGGTACAATCTAGCAATTAAGACAAAGAGGTTGAGGTACACAGCTCAGTTGGTAGAACACTTGCCTAACATATATGAAGCCCCAGGATCAATCTTTAGTACTGCATAAACTGGGTGTTGTTGAGGATGCCTGTAATTCCAGTACTCTGTGAGAGCAGAAATTAAAATTCAAAGCTACCCTATAGTGTTTGAAACCCTATTTCAATTTTAAAAAGAAAATACACTAGCATATAAATTATGCCATATTTTCAAGTAACTAAGTATTGAGGCTAATAGAATGGTATAAGAAGAATGGAAATCTAGTGAAAGGAGTGGAGGTTTGTAACATTAAGTAATAATAACGTACGGAGTCAGGGATATATAATTGAGCATTTCCCCAGGTGGTCCAGAGGAAGTCTGGGTAAAGAACACAGTTCAAAGTCCCTGAGGCCACAGTGTCCCCAGGATACAAGAGAGCCAAGATGGATGAGATTAGGAAACTAAGTCAAAATTAATAGAGAGCTGTATTATAGAAAGCTCTGTAATTCATGAAAAAAAGTCTTGAGTTCTAATTCTGAGAAAAATACAAAATTGTTGGAGGATTTTGGGCAAAGAGGTCAATAGCCTAAAAAGGGTCACTTTGTCTTTATTGAGAACAGGAAAAATCAGGTTCACAAATGGAAGCAGAGAGCCCACTTAAGAGACTACCTGGAATGCCATCAGAGGAAAGATGAGAAAGACCAAGCACAAGCTTAACTTGATGATGGAGCCCAGGTGATTTGCTGAAATACTAGCTTCAGAAATGTGAAAAAAAGAGATTGGGATATGCTCATATTATCAGCCTAAGAATCTGGAAAGATGAAATTTCCATCAGCTGACATGAAGATGAGATGTCACAGAACAGGTTCCAGGGATAGTTTAAGTTGGGTTTCAGACTTTTCAGACTTCTAAATGGAAGCAAAGTCGATGATCCAATCTGCTGCTCAGGAGAAAAATCTTGGCAGGAACATATATTTCAGGAATGTGACCACAGAGGTGTCATTTGAAGCAATGAAAATGGCTGAAATCATTGAAGTAAATATGGACTGAGCAGGGTAACTGTAGACAAATTGCTAAAAGGTCTTATTAAATAAAAAAAAACCTGGAGCCAGATATCAGGGTTAAAACCTGAGAGATCAGAGGAATAGGAAAAGCCACAAGCCAACTTCCCCTTACCAACTCTCAGTTTCCAAAGAGACCTACTTCCTGTATACCCACACCTGTATGTCTTTCTGTTCTGCTATGTCATTTGCTCTTTCTGTCCAGCTACATCACTTCCTCTTCCTGCCCAGTTCTGTCTCTTCATGTCTGTCTGTACAGACCTCCAAACCTTTATGGTTAACTAGTATTGGAATTTCAGGCATGTGCCACCACGCCTGGCTCTGTTCCCAGTGTGGCCTTGAACTCAGAGAGATCCAGACAGATCCCTACCTCCTGAATGATAGGATTAAAGGAATGTGCTACCATTGCCTGACTTCTATGTTTAATATAGTGGCTGGCTTTTTCCTCTGATCTCCAGGCAAGCTTTTTTTATTAAAGCACAAATAAAATATCATCACAGGTATCTGCCAAAGATAGGAACATTGAGCACCCAACACTAAGCAGTCTCAAGAAAAGGAACTGGGAAAGAAGACTGTAAAGGACAGGAGAAACTATTGAGATGTGCTGGAGCCCAAGAGAAAAAATATCAGGAGAGGAGGTGAGCTAAATGCTGCCCATAGGTAAAGTCAGGTGACAGACAAGAACTGAGCACTGTTTTAGCAACCTGGATACTTTCAACATTCTTAAGGAGGGAAGTTACAGAGGACAGGAAATTGGGAAGATTTAACTGCAACAGAACAGACAAGAATTGGAGACAGAGTATGAATAATTCCTTTTAAAATGGAGTTTAGGGCCACGCAGTGGTGGTAGATGCCTTTAATCCCAGCACTTTGGAGGCAGAGATAGGCAGATCTCTGTGAGTTTGAGGCCAGCTGGGTCTACAGAGCAAGTTCCAGGACAGCCAAGGCTACACACAGTGATCTTGTCTTGAAAAACCAAAAAAAAAAATAGAGTTTATGCATAAACAGAAAAACAAACTGCACCTGGCTATCAGGAAAATGTGGGGAGGTTTTTCTTTGGGCCGCCAGCTCACAAAAAACGACATGGAGACTTATTACTAATAATGAAAGCTCAGCCTATAGCTTAGGCTTGTCTCACTAGCTCTTATAACTTAAATTAACCCATTTCTATTAATTTACTTTCCTCCTTGTGACCTATTACCTTTACTCTGTACTGTCCATGCTGCTTTCCTGCTTCCTGTATCTAGCTAGCAACTCAGCTCTTCTTCTTCTTCTTCTTCACAGCATCCCCTCTGCCCTGAAAATCCTGCTATGCTGCTGGCCATTGATTCAGCTTTTTATTAAACCAATCTTCACAGTGTACAAAATGATTATTCCACAACAGGAAAAAATAATGCCAAGATGAGATAGATAGATAGATAGATAGATAGATAGATAGATAGATAGATAGATAGATAGATAGATAGTAATGTGTTTTGGAGTGATGAATTTACATAGTGGAAAAGGACATGGTCTAGAACACCCAAGTAGAAGAATTAGCTTTAAAGAGTTCCTCCATGGTCAAAGGCTGGAGGAAAACACACACTGGAGCAGATCTAGTGCACACACAGATGTTACAGGGTGTGTGTCTGAAAGTCTCTCCATGACTTCGTTTTCTCAGAACAGGGAGCAAGGCCATCATCATGGAGTGGGGATGAGAGAAAAAAACGGGTGTTTGAGGATGGAATATTATGATGAAACAGCCATGACGGGACAAGGGAAACAGAACAGACAGGGGTTAAATGGCTAGATAACTCAGAGAACACACAACAGAGATTTAGTAACTTTGTAATGAATAATTAAAAGGGCCAAGCAGTGGTGGCTCATGTCTTTAATCCCAGCACTCAGGAGGCAGAGACAGGTAGATCTTTGTGAGTTTGAGGCCAGCCTGGTCTACAGAGTGAGATCCAGGACAGCCAGGACTACACAGAGAAACCCCATCTCAAGAAAGAAGGAAGGAAGGAAGGAAGGAAGGAAGGAAGGAAGGAAGGAAGGAAGGAAGGAAGGAAGGAAGGAAGGAAGAGAAAGAGAGAGAGAGAAAGAAAGAGAGCTAGAGAGAAAGAAAGAAAGAAAGAGAAAGAAAGAGAGAAAGAAAAAGAGAGAAAGAGAGAGAGAAAGAAAGAAAGAGAGAGAGAGAAAGAAAGAAAGAAAGAAAGAAAGAAAGAAAGAAAGAAAGAAAGAAAGAAAGAAAGAAAAATGATTAAAAGGATAGAAATTTTTGCTTTCAATTTTAGATGTAGTAGTGAAAGACCATTCACTAAAAATACTTTGTTAAACCTAACAACACACAAAAATTATGGAGCCTGCTTCTAAACTTCAGATTCACTAGCTATTCAGAATAACAATCCCAGATATGAGTATTCACGGTTTATCTGATTTCCTTTATTGTCTACCACTGAATGCTTGAAGAAAATTGACTCTCTCTCTCTCTCTCTCTCTCTCTCTGTGCATTAAATGAGACTTGATTCCTCAGCTGGATTCACCAACCTCTGCTTTCCTACTGTTGATGAGTAGTTTGTTTCTGCTCCTCTGGTCACAGAGAAAAAGAGGAAGAATTGACACTTACCAGCATTCTTGTAGGTTTTCTCCCTGATGCAACAGTCAAGGACCCTGAGCTGATAAACTGTTTAAAATAGGAAGTAAGACAGACAAAGGGACATTTAGTCTTGACCACTTTCTCCTCAGCATTCCCTTGACAGTAGTTATCTAATAGAAGTTACACAAATTTACACAAAGTGTATTTCACATTACTCATTATTTTATATGACTAAAATTTTAACATAGTTCATATTCTAAGTAAATTCATCATAATTTCATTTTGTTTATGTCTAGCTTTTAACAGGTGTATATATGGATATAAATAATGAATACTATAGTTATGCTCTTGTTTATGTTGATATATATTTTTAAAATTCTTGTATCACTGCCCATGCATCTGATTTATCTGTCTAGATGCTTCAAAAGAGAATTTATAAATCTAAATGGCCATTCTGTATTCTCTAGTTTTTAAATCACTGTTTTAATGTGTTATTATTTCCATGACTCTAATTTTGATAAATAGAATTTTCTATACATTTATGATTATCCAAACCATATTTTAAATAGGTAAGATTTAGAATCCTTTACCATGTTACCAAATGTTGGAGAATAAAGGCTTGCTAAATAAAATGCAACTACTGAATTCTGAAAGTCAATGAAATGATTCCTAATGATATTCTACTATACTCATAGATTGGTGCCTAGTCCAATTGTCATCAGAGAGGCAGCATCCAGCAGCTGATGTGAGCAGATGCAGAGACCCACAGCCAAACACTAGCTACAGCCAAAGGAACCCTGCAGAAGAGGGATGGGGGAAGGATTGTAGGAACCAGAGGGGTCGGGGACAGTAGGAAAACATGGCCCACAGAATCAACTAAGCAGGGCTCATGAGGCTCACAGAGCCTGCATGGGTCTGAGTTAGGTCCTCTACATATATATTGTGTAGCTTGGTGTTCTTCTGGGACTCCTATCAGTGGGAGTTGGGGGGTGTCTCTGACTCTTATCTGTGCTGGGACCCTTTTCCTCCTACTGGGTTGCCTCATCCAGCCTTGATATGAGGTTTTGTACCTAGTCTTATTGTAACTTGCTATGACATGTTCAGTTGATATCCCTGGGAGGCCTGCTTTTTTTTTTTAAGGGAAATGGAGGAGGAGTGAATCTTGGTGGAGCAGGGGACACTGTGAGAAATGGAGGGAGGGGAAACTGTGGTTGGGATATAATATATGAGAAAAGAATAAAAAAGAAAATGCAGGAACAGGCTTTGAGCTCTGCCTCAGATTAAAAGAGATTATCACAGGTCTTTCTGTCACTGTACTTCATAAAAGAGCACCTTTGTTTTCAATACCAGCTTCATCTCATGGGTGGATTACTAAGCATTTCTTCACCTCAGCTTCTTTCTCCATCTAACATCATATCCCCATGTTAATATCACCTACTAACAGCTGTGTGGTGCTAAAATGATTGATAGAAAAATGGGAGTTCCTGTTTGCCCAGGATGCAGGAAGCATCCAAATTAACAATAATGTATAGCTCTCATTTAATTTCAGAGATTTCCAAAAGAAGATCCTTTTGCTATTTCTGAGAGCCTAATAAGGAAACTGAGGGCAGAATTTCACATTTAATCTCTAGCACCACATCCTTAATAGGATTCTAAAAGATGAAGCCATAGAAAGAAAGCACAGTATAGTGGGCACACAGCAGGCATGTTCATGGTAGGGAGGGCTTGGACTGGAGTTGATGACTACAGGCAAGGGCAGATAAGGAGAACGGGTCATACACCTTGGACTTGCCCTGAAAGTGTCTCTGAGCCAGAGAGAAGCTTCTAGAATTGGAATCAATGATCTAATCTTTTGGTGATGCTAAAGTGACACCAAAGGGCTCCCTGGTCCCTTCCCTTTTTAAATTTTATTTTATGTGTGTGAGTGTTTTGCCTGCATGTATGTCTACACACATATGTGCAGTGCCTGTAGAGGGTCAGAAGAGGGCATCAGATCTAGAACTGGAGTTACAGATGTGGGTGCTGGGAATCGAAGCCGGGTCCCCTGGAACAACAGCCAGTGCTCTTAACTGTTAAGCCATCCCTCTGGCTCCCTTCCATTACAAAACAAACTAATCTCACTTTCTGAGAAAATAAAACTCGGTGCTTGTGGAACACCTGAAATTCTTCCTTTCTATCTTTTCTAAAATTCAGAGCAGAAACTCTTCACTTGGGTTGTCAAGATTTATTATGCAGAACAATTCAGGAATATTTCAGAGTTTAGCTCTTCCATCAAAAAAAAATTATATTATCTCACAATGTCAGGAATGTCAAATCCACAGTACACGCTTCATACCGTGAACTGAAAATACACACAGTCTTTTATCAGACTGAGAACTGATACCAGCCCTCAATCTATTTTTATGACTCGCATAGTCTGTTATTGTCTTTTGTTCCTTCTCACTCCCTTAAGACCTCTTTTCTCCTTTCTTGGTCTCTATTCTAGTTTCACAACTTATGCCCCCCCCACACACACATTTAGGCACATATATAAACATTAAAATCTAGGCACTGCATAGAAGAGAAAACATACAGAGTTTATATTCCTGAGTCTATAAAGCTTCAAAGCTATAGGATTCTGTGTGTGTGTGTGTGTGTGTGTGTGTGTGTGTGTGTGTGTGTGTGTGTATGTGTGTGTGTTTGTACATATCCAAGAACTCTAAGTCCCACCCAGGAGATAGAACTGGCCGTGTCCATCATGCCCATCAATGCCTTGGTGCAGGGAGGAGGGGCTTGGACCTGCCTCAACTGAATGTACCAGGCTCTGCTGAATCCCCATGGGAGACTTTTGCCTTGGAGGAGGTGGGAATGGGGGTGGGTTGGGGAGGAAGTCTGGGGGGCGGGAGGAGGGAGGACAGGGGAATCTGTTGTTGTTGATATGTAAAATGAATAGAAAATATCTTAATTAAAAATACATGGATAGATAAATAAAATGTGTTACATATGCATAACAGAATTTTATTTGGCCATAAAGAAATGTGAATCCATAACTTGCATAGGAAAATGGATGGAACTGGGAATTATTATACAAAGTGAAGTGGTTCCCATAAAACAGAAAGAAAAATTATTTTGCCTACTTTTGTCAGAAATTATAAATCAAAACCACAGCCGCTAATCTTCAAAGAACACTTTCATATTGCAGCACACTAGCCGTGCCCGATAAGAGATAGTTTGTGGCTGAGGAAATGAATACTCACGAACACAGCACCCCAGAATGGATAGCCTGTGTAGAAGGTGAAGAAGAAAAAATGCCTGAAGTAGTGGGACAAATATTGTAAACACCCCAAAAATACACCCAGAGCCAGAATCAGTATTCCATTCAGGATCTGGATGGCCTGTAAGAAGAAGAAAAAAAAGATAAAAGGCATACTACCAGTTTTATTTTCCTCAGAAAGGAGGAGATATCATGACTTTAAATGCTTAAAATGTGAAGTTTAAATTAACTGAGCAAGATCTTGTTCTAAGAAGATTTTGTTTAGAACCATAATACGACAAAGGAAAACATCTGTTAAATTTTTATTTTAAAATTTTTTATTTAAAATATAGAATACGGCCACCACTGATGACACAGGCCTGCAGTCTCAGCTACTTGGGAGAATGAGGCAGAAGCATTTGTCTGAGCTACAAAATGAGTTCAAGTCCAACCTGTGTGATTTAGTAAGACCCTGTCTAAAAATGCACAAAGGGGTGGTGCTATAGGTCAATAATAGAGTGTTTTCCTGGCATGCATGAGGACCTGGGTCCCATCCCCAGGACCACAGTGAAGGAAAAGAGGGAAAGGAAGGGGAGAGAAGGGAAGGGCAGGGGAGGGGAAGGAAAGGAGGAGGGAAGAGAGGGGAGGGAAAGAGGGAGGGAGGGGAAAGAAAAGAGGGAGGGAAGGGGAGGGGAGGGAAAGAGGGAGGGAGGGGAAGGAAAGGGGGAGGGAAAGGGGAGGGGAAGGGGGAGGGGAAGGGGGAGGGGAAGGGGAGGGGAAGGGAGAGAGGGGAGGGAAAGGGGGAGGGGAGGGGAAGGAAAGAGAGAGGGAGGGAAGGGAAGGGAAGGGAGAGAAGAGAAGGGGAGGGGAAGGGAGGGGAGGGGAGGGGAGGGGAAGGGAGGGGAGGGGAGGGGAGGGGAGGGGAGGGGAGGGGAGGGGAGGGGAGGGGAGGGGAGGGGAGGGGAGGGGAGGGAAGGGAAGGGAAGGGAAGGGAAGGGACTTCACAGAACTCAACCTCCTGATATGAGTGATCAGAAAGCACCAAGAAGCAATGAATAGCCTTAGAAGAAACTCTCCAGGGTTTGCTAGGACACTCTACCCCATGAGAGGCTGAGTCTCCATGTCTACTCCTCAGGGCTCGATGGCCCCATCTTGTCTTCAATGACTTAGTGAGAAATAACTCAGCAGTTTCAGAGGGAACCCATGTAATCTTCTGTTACTTCTTGTACAAACCGACTTTGTGACCAAGGCTGACTTACCCCAAGGGCTTGCAGTGCTCCTCTTTGAACATCACGTGATCCATCCAGGAGCTGATAACCAGAACCATCAGTCTCCTCTTGGTTCACGTGACCTGCTGAGGTTCCCAGTCCTGCATTATCCAATCCCTGGGAGGCCATTTGGGGCTGCTTGTGGCTGTCCTGGGAAAGAACTCAAAAGCTTGATGCTCCCTTCTATCACTTTCTAGCAATATTTTTTAGTGTAACAGGAAATTTCTGTTTTGTTCATTCATCAAGATTACTCTCCCGAGTGACAGGATTCATAACCTGCTCTGTCCCTTTCTACCCTAGAACTGCTCCCTTCACAAAGCAACCCCTCCCTCCCCTCTACAACTTGGCTTGGATAGTACCTTTCTTTTACCAAACCAAATTCCAGCCCATGAGTCAAACTTTCAAGAAACTCCTTTTAGTCCTGGCCCAGTCTGAATGATGAACCATTTCTGCCTGCTCTGGGAATCCACTCAGCACCCCTTTAACATTCCTCAGTCTGAGTTTCAATTTTCAAGGTGTTTGCTTGTGTCTCTCTGTGTGCTCATCATCTTTACTCTACTGTCCCACTGTCTCACAGTTGGTACCCAGCTAATACATACTTCAGAAATAGCCATGTCTAAGGATAATAATAGAAAATCCATCAGCAGGCACTAGGTCTTTTTATGTTGAAAACACCATAGAACAGACTTGGAGGGAAGAAAATGTAGTCTGACACATCATTGACTTTTTTTTTTTTAGAAAGAATCAAAGATGAGCTTCCGCCTTCAGATAAAGCAAACTATGTTCTATAAAATATGGTCAATTAAGCTTTTTTGAAAATCAAGAAAACATAGGCTTCTTCACATCATATTGAGAAGCTCACCTCCCCAGCTTTAACTGAGTAGCCAAAGTTCTTCTGGGTGTTTTATTCATATCATCTCTCAGGACATCCATTGGAATGGGTATTGTCCTTATGACCCTTTCCGTCTTACAGATTAGATGGGGAAGCTAAGAAACAGAGAATCAAATAACATCCCCAAGTCCACCAGGCAGGAATCAAAGAAGCTAAGGATCAAAATCTGCCTCTAGTTATCACTACAGTCTTCCTCTGAGCCTGTGCAGGAACTGTCTCACCAAACCTCAATCATAGTTCAGGAGTGTCCTCTCATAACCAGAGCTGGCCACCAAACTCAGAGGCAGCCTCTATATATATGAAAGTGTGTGTGTGTGTGTGTGTGTGTGTGTGTGTGTGTGTGTGTGTGTGTGTGTCTGTCCATGTCCATGTCTGTATTTTCCAAATAAATAGCTATATTATGCCAAAAATAATGGCACCCAGGGTAGCATCTGCATTCTAAAGGCAGTCATCCATACATCTAAAAATTCCAAACCTTTACTGAGCAACCAAATAGAAAGCGTTTAGGCATCCCAAGAAGGCCATCGGAGGCACCATTAGCAGACAGAAATGCAAGAATTCCTATGGAGTAAGGAGCCTGTAGGGTTTACCTTGGAGACTTCAGGCTTTGACAGACTTTTTTTCTTGCAAGTCCATCTCGTTACAGAAGAGGAATCAGTCTGCCCTGCAAAAAACAGCCGTCTCTTCTTCCTCAGGTTAAACGAATCTCTTCCTTGTGCAATACCTCAGCAGATCCAGTGGAAGTGTTTCTGCTGGCTGCCTGGAAGGTGTGCTAATCATACCCGTATTTGAAGGCACCAATGACCCATCCACTTCCCCAAGGCTCACCCATAAAGAAGGAAGCTGGTATCAGGAACCACCACCCTCTGGCTCTAAGATGTTGCTTCACACATTAATGGAGCAAGAAATAGAAGCAGAAAATAAGGGTAGGTCAGTGGGAAGCCATTGTGGAATGGAGGAGGAATAGGTCTGGCCATGTAATTAAAGGTGAAGCCAGACAGAACAAATAGTGTTGGAAGGAGGGACGTACCAGGGCCACTAAGGGACTGGGTTTACATAATCCACCGGTGATGCGACTGAAATTGTTTTACATGCATGATAATGTTTAATCCTCTCAGGCCAAGCAAGGTTAGTTCATTTGTCATAAAATAAAGCAATGGTAACTTAAATATATTATGCTTACTATATATCAGCTGCTGCTTGCTGTTCAATTTGCTTCACGGCACCTATTTCTTCTATCTTCGGGATAACCCACGACCTAGATAACACTCCTAAGTCAATGGGATGGAAGATAAAGCTGGCATAGAAAAGATAAACTGACTCCCTCACATTTAACCAGCTATATTTGTCCATTGCCTGATGGTGTAAGGGAATACCACTGACCGGGGTGAGCTATTAAAAATACAAGTTTATTTGCCTCATGGTCATAGAAGCTGATTAGTCCAATGCCAGAACATTGGCACCTGCTGGGGTCCTTCATGCCATGTCACAGCAGAGTAAGAGTGAGGGAGAACATGTGAAAGAAAAGAGTATGGGTGCTCATAATGAACCATCTAAGATCAGCTGGGAAATGAAATATGACTGAATACTTCCGTGAGGTCCCATAGAAGCTTAACTTGGAATACGAATCCTGAATATGGGATTCAACATCCCATGGTCTGAGGCCCCGGGCTGGATGAAAAGTAGAAAGTGCTGAGTGCCAGCATTCATCTCTCTCTGCTTCCTGACTTCAGAGAGTGTAAGCAGTCTGATGTCACAGCTAGAGCAGCCCTTGTCACCACACCTCCTTTGGCATTTGACCTTCAAATTGTGGACAGAGATAGAACTTTCTTGAGGTGATTTTATCTGGTATTTTGTCACAGCAATAAGAATAACTAACAGAGTCCAAACTCCATCTTCTATTAGGACCTACTTCTGCTTACACCTCACTCCCATGATGCTGTTGATCATGACATCATCCATGTCCCATGATCTGGGAGTGCTAAGATGAATAATAGTCCTCCAGTGCCTTGCCTTGACTCCCTGTACCCCTTTTGGGCATTATCTGAGGCTTTGGATCTCTCAGGTTGGGGTCTTTTGCCTGCAGCCCTCTGAAGCTAGAGGTCAAGTGGTTTCTGTATGATAGGAATGGCTTGTTCCCACAGTCTGGCCTCCATGAGGGCTTTATGCCTATACATTTCTGCCCAGGCCTCCATAATGTCTGTAACATTCTTTTAAAATGGCCTCATAGATCTTGCATCTTATACACCTGGAGAATTGGTGACCTATGGGCTGTACCAAGGTTCACATCTTGCACCTTCTCTGAAGCAGGCTTACCCACACCTCAGCTTACTTGAGCCATGGATGAAACATCTGAGCAGTGCTGTTCTAGAATATTAGGAGTGGAGTTCTAGGGGCTATGTCAGGGAGCACTTGGAGGCCATCCTGTGTCCAACTCCCAAAGCATTCTGTTCTTCTAGAGCTCCAGGCTTGAAAAAGAAGCCTTGAAGAGCTCTGAAATCCTTGGACTTTTCTCTCATTGCCTATGATCCCTCTGACTATGCTAATCTTGGTCCCTTAGCTACCCACATGACTTTGTATTCTTCACCTGGCCATTCTGTAAATATTTTCAACTCCTTCCATTTTGGTTTCTCTTTTTTCAATTACAAATTCCACATTGAGCTCTTTCCTTCTTGGACTTCACTGTCTGTTGTTAAAATGATCACATGGCAGTTGGAATACTCTTACATTCTATATCCTATAAAGTCCTAGGATACAAACATAACCCCTTTTAATGACACAGGGTTTCATGTAGTTCAAGCTAGCCTCAGACCCTCGGTAGAGGCAAGGCCGCCCTTGAACTTCTGAGCCTGCTCCCTCCCCAAGGTCTCAGATTATGAGCACGCATCTTCATGCTTGGTTTACATAGTGCTGGGGATGAAATTCTGGGCTTTGTGCATAGTAAACAAGCACTCTACCAAATACACCTCCAGTTCATGCATGGAATCTTGCCAACTTTTTTGCAGCTACATAAAAAGGATAAATTTGACTTTGGTTTCCAGCCTCTTATTCCTCACTGCTAAGATCTCATCAGAAATGTCCATGTTACCACCAATATTCTAAGTGATAAGAGAGGGTAAAGTCGGGGGCGGGGGGTTGTGGAAGAGAAAAAGAATGAAAAGTGAGGTCCCAGTTCTGAAAGCCAGATTGTAAGTGTGGACAGAGCACATGAAAGAGGAAGAAGGTATGATACCACAACTGAAGGACAGTTTGGGGATGAGAGACTGTGGATATGAGGCAAGCCGAAGCTCAGCAGGAGCTCTGCAGCCAAGGCTTACCCCTGAGCCCAGAGCCAAGTGCAGGGACAGATAGAAGAGTAGACCTGGACAGAAGTCACAAGGAATTGGTAGAAAGGACAGTGGTAAAGGGCATAACACATTCCCACCCCTACTCCCACTGCACCCACATACTGCTTTAGTGAAAACCATTGCAGATAGAATATCACAAAAGAAAGAAACGGCAAGAACATGATTTGTGGAAAGAATAAAGAACATACAGAAGTGGAAGAAAATGGATCTAAGATTTTTTCTTTGAATTTAGAACTGAAAAGTCATAAAAAAGATCTTGAGGGTTCAGCTGTCTCATTCGTAACCTGAAAGTTAGAGTACCCACGACAGTAAAAGGTTCAAAGGACAGAATGCATGTAAAGCATTGAAGTCACATGAAGTGGCATTTTATAAGTCAAAATAGGCATCTTTGTATGCATTAAACCAGCACATATTTCTCTAATAGGAAAACAACAGCCATGATAATTAAAGAAGGTTAAATAGTGAAATAAAGGAGGAAGCTTGATTTGTTCCTGGCTCATCCCTAAATGTCCATGTGCATTTAAGACACATTGCTTTCCCACCTCAGTCTAACCGGCTGGACTGTGAGATTGAGCATCAGGATAAGATGTTTTAGAATCATCCTCCTGAAGCCTGGCTGTTCCAGCACTGTTCATCTTACACCCTAAGAATGCTGACGGGAAAAACGGAACTGCCTTGCCTATTAGTCAACTTTTCTACTGCCGTGATAGACTATAAAAACCATACTTGAAGGGAGAAAGACATATTTTGTCTCATGGATTAAGAGACATTAACCTATACTCATCTGCCTCTGTGCTTATGGGCTCATGCTCTGAGGGCAGGCTCTGTCTGAGAGGAAAAAAGACAGAAGTACTTGGCAATAAATAATCTAGTCAACTGCCCCCAGAGGATGAGTCCATACCTGCCAACCTCGATCAACTGTTTCAAATGTGGATGAAACATTATGGAAGGAAATGAGATGGTATCAAATTTCAGCAATGGGGCTGTTTGCTTAAATTCAAAACCATGAGTTGAATTTTCTTCTAGATTAGTCATCTGAATATGTTGTCACATTAAATTAGGGTTAGAACATAGCTTTTTAAATTAAGACACTAAGCAAATTCAAGTGTCTGCAAACAAGAGAATATTTATCTTTCCTGGGAGTTAGGTTAAAATTTAAATTAAGCCCAAAGTTTCTATTCTGAGACATACACCTACCACTGTTCATCATTCTTACTGAAAACACTTAGAACATATTTCTATTAGATCAAAACATATGGGCTAGTAGGATGGATAACCAGATAAAGGTTAATACCACCAATCTTGACAATCGGAGTTCCATCCTTGGGACTCACGTGGTTGAAGAAGAGGACCTACTCCCACAGGCTGTCCTCTGCCCTCTACATATGTATCATGGTATACATGTACACTCACATACCACAATTTAAAAAATAAACTTTAAATGTTCAAAATTACCATGAAGGACATATTCTTGAATCTAGGTACAAAACAGAAAACAAAATTTTAATGGATAATATAAATTGTCTATTAGGTAACTCAAATTAATAAGCCATATCCATGAATAAAATTATTGAAGAATACATCTCCATAGGCAGAGCCTTTATTTCATTGGTGTACAGGAATGAGATGTCTAAGGAGAAATGTATGCCAGCATTGTTCTTCTTATTGAAAAGGGGTTTGTTTTACAGTGAAGTTCACGATGCCCACACTGTTCTCAGCTCCTATTCAGGAGGAAACAGATTGGTGAACATTTAATAACCCCAACTCTTTGGGCATGGCTTCAAAGTCAACCATAAAGAAATTTGAACCCACTTTTGGGTCCTCATCAGGAGACACTGGTGTAAATCACGGTGACTTCCTAAAGAAAAAGGGAAGAGAGAATCAAAGTTGGAGTTCTTGGTGCCACGTCTTGCTGAGTCTAGACTTGGGGTCAAATCATTCTATCTATACTAAACACCATCATTTTCAATATAATGATTTAGGAGACAGAGGCAAGAGAATCATTGCAAGTTCAAGGCCAGCCTGGTCTACATAGGGAGTTTCTGGCAAGTAAGTGATTTGGATTTTTGAATGTGAATGGATGGATATGTATTTATGTACAACCTTAAAAATCTATGCACCAAAACTCTGATAGTGTATGTCTGTCTGACTAGCCATCATATTAAAGTTTTAGATTTATTTATTTTATGTGTATGAATGTTTTGCCTGCAAGTAAGCATGTGCACCATGTGCATGCCTTGGTGCCTAAGGAAGTCAGAAGAGGACTTTGTTTCCCCAGGAACTGGAGATATGGATGGCTGTGAACTACCATATGGGTGCTAGGAATCGAACCCAGGTCATCTGCAAAAGAAATAAGTGCTCTTAGTTGCTGAGCCATCTCTCCAGCCCATAGCCATCATTTTTCTAAGGAAGGTAAGCAAGAAACAGGATAGTAATTACTGTTGCAGAGGAATGTCCATTATCTCTTGTTAATCCGAAAGACTCTGCAGAAGCCCTAGGCCTGAGGCAACAGGTCAGAACTCCACATAACACCAGCAATTGGTAGTATATGGAAAATCTGTATGTATTTATGCGTGTATATGCATGACTTAATCAAGTTTGGCTTTTATTAGGGGTTCTGATACAACCCAGAATATCACTAAATCCCTCAACTTAGTTTACCTTAGGAAATAGTTATATGGAAGGTCAGAAATACTAGCAAGGTAAACGTATTTTTTGCCACTAAAATCCACACTTAAAGGTGGTAAAGATGGTCAATTTTATCTTGTATTTTACCACAGTGAAAGAAACAAAAACAAACACAGAAGTATAATTTGCTATATTAAAAGATATTGCACATTTGCTCTGAGCTCTAAATTCTCTTTTGATGTTAAGTATTTTTATACATTAGACAAGGTTATATAAGTTGTTCTGTGGTTTCTACACTTGTCCCCTAAGGGTCTACAACATTTAACACAAACATTTCTATGACATGGTAAATAGTGCACAAGAATGCTATTGCATTCCATCTCAAAGTTCCTATAGGGCATGTGGTGCTTTGAAAGAAACAGCCTCCAAAGGGAGTGGCACTGTTACATGGCCTTGTTGGAGAAAGTGTGTCACTGTGCTGGCAGGCTCAGATAGTTGACTTCCTGTTGCCTACAAGATGTAGCACTCTCAGCTCCAGCACCACATCTGCCTACATGTCACCATGCTCCCCACCATGATAATGGACTGAACCTCTAAAACTGTAAGCGAGTCACCTCAAATAAGTGTTTCTTTATAAGAGTTGCCATGGTCACAGTGTCTCTTCACAGCAATAAAAACCTAAACTAAGACATTCAGGATCCAACATTAGTTCCATAAAACTGCAAGCAAGTGCATTTAATCATACAGGTGGACAAATTCTTCTTCATCCTCTGCAAGTTCATATTAAAGGGGCAGATTGATTTTCCATTCACATTTTAGCCATGCAGTCTCCTCACATGAAATAAAGTTTATCAGGAGAAGTGTACTATAAGGAGATAACAGCAAAATACATTGATGCCACGGATCAGTGAGATGGCTCAACAGGTAAAGGTGTATGTCAACAAGTCTTATGGCCTGAGTTCAATGCCCAGACCCCACAGATTGGAAGGAGAGCAACAATTCCCAAAAGTTGTCCACTGACCTCCATACAAACACTGGATCACATATCCACACACACAAAATAATTAAATGAACAAGTAAATGTTACAAAAACTAAATTTCCAGATTTCCAAATTAATATATATATAATTTTATAGAAAGTATGTATGTCTCAATGTCTAATTCTACTTAATAAAGATGATAAAGTATTTGATTATCTTGATTTGTATCTGTAAACTACAAAACTGTAAAATAATCTCAATCCACTAGATTATATTAGAATCTTTCAACTCTGTAATGTTTTGATTCTAAAATTAGGTAACGTATTTAATTTTTAAAAATGAAAGATAAGAGGGCATCTACTGAACTAGTTTATTAATAATAATTTGGGGTTTGTTTGAATTCTTCTCGTGGGCAAGTCAGGATATAGCCTCTAAAATCTCTGCTCCCGTGAGAGCAGCTCAAAGGAGACGGTCTGCAGGACTCACCGAGAGGCAGAACACTGCAAAGGGATTGTCTGAGGTTCACAACTAGTGCTCCTTGGCATAAAGTACAGCTCAGTTTCAAAACAGAGCGTGTCCTTTGAGATAACCTAGGAAATCACATGGTTTAGGAGGAGAGCACCCCAGCAATGCAAGAGCCATGCACAGATGTGAACACAAAACATAAAGCCTCAATTATCTCAAAAGATGGCTTCCGTCATTCTCAGGTGCATGTGAAGGTCCAGCCACTGAAGAATGAGACAGAAAAGGAGGACTGTAATAGTGAATTGAAAGTACCTTGTGATAGGAGCATCCCAAGACATGCAGCAAACAAACTGCCACTTAAGAGATTGTGTAATAAATTATCAATGAAAAGCTTTCAATAGTTATCTATGTCTGCCTCTGTCTCTCTGTGTGTGTGTGTCTGGCTCTGTCTCTCTCTCTGTATCTCTCTGTGTGTCTCTGTGTGTCTCTCTCTATTCCTCTCTGTGTGTCTCTCTCTGTGGATCCCTGTTTCTGTCTATTTGTCTATCTCTCTCTGTGTCACCTCTCTGTGTGTCTCTGTGTGTCTTTGTGTGTGTCTCTGTACCTCTCTGACTCTTTGTCTCTGTCTCTGTCTCAGTGTGTGTCTCTATGTCTCTGTCTGTCTGTCTGTCTCTGTCTGTCTCCATCTCTTTCTATGTACTGATACATGTGAGCGTGTGGTGGTACCCACCCATTTGTGCACATACAGAGGCCAAAGTACTCCACCTATCACCAGTAGACAGGAGCCCTCATTAAACCAGAAGCTCACCATTTGGACTCAGCTTGCTGGCCAGCATGCCCTCAGCATCCAATGATCTCCACTCCCCAGTGCTTGGATTGCAGGCCCATACAGCCAAGCCTGGCCTTTTACGTGGTTTGTGGGCTTTCAAACTCAGATTCCGATGTTTGCAGAGAAAGCACTCTTATCCATACGACCATCTCTCAAGACCTCGGCAGTTTTGTTTTTGTTTTTTGTTTTTGGTTGAGTAACACGGTTTAGAGTCAAATAACAAAAGTGGTTTAAACCATGTGTTTTGGCAGGAAATCGGTCTGTCTTGATATCGTAACCTCCACCAGCCCCTTAATCACCCCAGGCCGACTACGTAAACACCATCTGAAACTGCAGGTGCCTCATTTTTCAAATGCAGGACCCTATCATAGGTGACTAAGATAATCAGTGAATGGCTCAAAATATTACTATAGTACAAATATAAATTTAAAATCTATAGGAAAACAATGTCTCAGAATGAGAATACAGTTTCAGATTCATCCCTAGGTGAATAGCCAACAGATACCTAATTCCAATGAAAATCCACTGCCCTGTAGGCACACTTCCTATTGGAGCATGGACAGATTTCAGATGACTGGACACTGACTATCATGCATATTGTGAGGATTGATGGTCTGGCACATTAGGAGTACTTTAAAAAGTAAAACTGTTTGCCAAGGGGCTGGGAAGATGGCTAAGTGAGCAAAAATGTTTGAGGCTCTTGCAGAGAACCCAAGCTTGATTCCCAGCACCCATGTCAGGTGGCTCACAATTATCTGTAACTCCAACTTCAGGGAATCAGAAGTCCTCTTTGGGCCTTCACAGGCACCTGGATACAGTGCACATATTCATACACAAATACAGATAAATAAAAATAAAATCTTGCTTAAAAGCTGTTTGTTAAGCTTTTGTGAAATAGGCTAGAATCTATTCAGATCTGTGCTACAAGGTTCTGGGCAAGCAAGTGACTAAATAATCAGTGACAGGTAAGTGGGGAAGCTGAATGTACTGGACTCATTAGTAATTATCAACAGGATCAGGGATGCAGTTTGATTAAAGGACCATAATGTTAACAGTAAACAAATATGCATGACAGAACACTCAATACTTTTATAGACAGCATCATTCTCACCTTTGTCCTGATGCCACAGTCATGAACAGGGTAGACAAAATCATATTGATATGTATGTATTTGAGTTGCAGAACAGCCCTGTCCCAGAACTAACTCATCAGCGAAAACATATGGACGGATTCTGTTCTTGGAATGTGTGCTAACAAAGACCATCACCCAGTCTATAGAACAATTTATCACCACTGCAGAAAGATACACATGAGAAAGTGTCAGGTGTGTATTACCTTCAAGAGAGAGCTACTTTTCTGTCAAAAGCAAACATGGCTTAAATAACAGCCTATGAAAGACTTTGAGATTACCATTATCTTCAAAATACATCTCTTTAATTACTCTCACATACATAGATGTCTGATACTTCACAGTTGGAAATCATCAATATACAAAGATAACAAAATAAAATTATTTTTTCCTTCTGAAGTATTGTTTTGTTTCTTGGCTCTTTTTTTCTCTTTATAGGGGGCCTGACACCCAGCTCCCAAATAAATCACACACACTGAAGGCTTATTATTACTTGTGAATGCTCAGCCTTAGCTTGGCTAAGTTTCTTGCCAGCTTTCCTTAAAGTAACCCATCTATTTTTTGCCTCTGGGTTTTTTCCATTCTCTTACTTCTATAAATCTTACTCTTACTCTATGGTTTGCTGTGTAGCTGGGTGGCTGGCCCCTGGAGTCCTGCTCCTTCTCTGGCTGCTAGCACTCTTTTTTTCCTCTCCTCCCAGATTTCTCCTTCTATTTATCCTCTCTGCCTGCCAGCCCTGCCTAATTCTCTCTCCTGCCTCAATATTGGCCTGTTCTTTATTAGACCATCAGATGTTTTAGACAGGCATAGCAACACAGCTTCACAAAGTTAAACAAATGCAACATAAACAAAAGTTACACTACTACTATTCAGGAGTATGTGAAAGGGAATGATGTATTCCCACAATCTTTGGGAGAAGACAAAGAAAAAATATAGTCCAGAGGAACTCAAAACAGCCTCAGCCATGAGAAGAAGGAGTAAGAAGAGAGAAAACTCCCCCCACCTCCAGGTTTGGAAGTGCTGAAAGAGTTTTGTTGTAAAACCCGCCCTTAGGTACAACTCACCCTTGGCCTCTGCATTGAAATTTTCAGGAAGTCAACCACTTACATTGCTCTTAATGGGTGCATCAGGAAGAGCTTCCCATACTGGATTTTCCCATAATGGAAGATATATGTAGTCAATGAGTGTGTGGCCACAGAGGCCTCCAAAATCAATGGGGCCTGTGAGTATTTGGCGTTTACAGATAATCCACCATCAAGAAGAAAGGCAAATTTGGGGAAATTCAGATTTGGAGAAGGCAGGTGTTCTACATCTATGCATCTTTGTATGTTTAAAATGTTATTCTAATATCCCCTCAATAGGAGAATCAGAAAGATCTTCCTTAAAAGAAAAAATATATCTCGACACCTGAGATTAAAGCTGGGTTTGAAAGAGTAAGTAGACTTGGGCATATTGGAAGTCCGTGCTTTTAGCTTCACTATTGCTACCCATCCCCACATTCCAATCAGCTTGATGCTATACAGTGGTCCCTCCAACATCTGAGAAACTACTGAGGACCATGTATAGATGTTGGATATATTAACTGAAGCAAATTCTTCCTTGCCCCCAAAAACATTAACTACAACCAGAGCACAGATACCTTACTCATTGCATCCCAGAGAGCCAGAATAGGCCAGTTATCACTTTGTCTCTGTATGTGTCATTAATTTCAGCAATTAACTACTGCACTAATTCAGCTGCACTAGCCTAAAGAGTTCATCTTAAGTGACAGGATGTCAGACTGTATATGGTCCTTACTCCTACAAGGTTTCCAGCCCAAAGAGATAAGAAACCTGCACATCAGTTCTGAAAGAAACCCCACTCCCAACAGAGGGCAATAGACAAGTCAACTTTGTAAATAATAACAGAGAATTCTGCCTTAGAAAAGCTAGCATTTAGTCAGTTCTTAAAGCTAAGAAATACCTTGATTCCAGGCAGGTAAAATGGGGGGGAATAGCAAAATAAACTTGTAAACAGGACAAAATTGATTTATTTTAATCTTCTTGGCTTCCTAGGATCATCAAAGATCTGATGTGGGTAACTCGCAGAACAGTACTTTTGTGTGTATGTTTCTGTAGCCAAGACTAGCCTTGAAATTGCTATGTAGCCAAAGATGGCCTTGAACTCCTGATTCTTCAGCTTCCCCTTCCCAAGTCCTAGAATTATAGATGTCTATCAACACTACTAGACAAGGCAATACTTTTAAAAGAACAAAAAGTAATATCAAGTGGAAATACGAAGATTCTGGAAGCAGGAAGGTCAGTTTCAGAGACAGAATACAATTAATTTCAATACTACCAAGAACAGATAACTGCCAGTAGGTTTGAAAAGGCTGAGACACAGAAGCATGGAGTATTTATGTAAATGAGATGCATGACAAAGAAAAGACCAAAACATAGGAAAGGGAGATGTCTGAGAACTTAGACATTCCGCAGAAAGAGGAAAATGTCTACTTGGCCTGAAAGTATTTGTATTCCAGAAAATTTATAGCAACATCACAGCTCTGCAAAGAGGAGAGGACCTGAACAGAAAAAAAAAAACAAAAAAACATTTCACACTACCCTTTCAAGGAGGCATTCTCCAAAAGGACCTGCGTGGAAGGCAATCTTATGCACAACCCTTTAAAGGAAGTATCTCCAAATGCTCATTTACCTTCGATGTTCCCAGCACAAGGCCAAACCAAGACAGGAAAGAGAACTAAGACCTCCAAAGCCATAGAGACCTTCATTTAGGCAGACTTCCAGCTCAGAATCACTATGGAAACAAAGGGGAAGTCGTGACTGGTTTAAGTGATTTTGTCTGGCAGCCCAAGTTCAGCTGTCTTCACTTTTCTACTTATTTAGGTAGCCTTCAGGGGTGAGGGGCTCTCATCAATATGCTAACTACTTAAAAGTCAGGTTCTTCTGATTATTTAAACCCCAAAGCTCAAAGAGGCATACCTGGTAGGTTGATCGTGGGCCAGTGGATAGTCCCACCTGTGCAGCACAAATTACACTCAGTGGGGTATAACAAAAAGAGGCCGAGAAGTTGGGGGGCATCAAGAGAGGGGTAGAGCTGAGAAAAATTATGGGGACGAGTCAGTAGTAAATATTATTAAATTGCACTGTATAATATATGAAATTCTCAAAGAATTGATTAAAATATTATATTTTAAAATGTGTCAATGGATAACTGTTTGCATATGGACTGTTAAAGTCACCTGGACACCCACAATTACAATATGACAGTAACTACCATGTTGTTGGAAATAGTGTTTATTGCATAATTTTTCAGATGTCATAAGCTTTGAGCTGATGTACAAATACTCTAAATCACATATATGTTAAATTAAAAGACAATTATTTCTTAATTGACATGAGTTTGATGGCTGAGTCACCAAAAAAAATGATAAAAAGTATTGATTAGGAATATAAATGCCTAGACAAGGGGAACCCAAAGGAAAAAACGTTTTTCTTGGAATAACAAAACTCCACAGATCCAATTCTATTGACGCCTCCTAGTAGTGTTTTAGTTATATCAATCCTTTCAAACCTTGCTATCATTTTACCAGAAGAAAGTACTTCATATGGATATATAATACACAACTTTATTCATATTCCAATACTAAGCAATATAGGTGTGGGACAAGTATGTCTACGTCATATTCTGATTGTGTCAGTCATGACGTGAACATGAGAGTGTAGTCTTTATATTTTTTATTTTTGAGACTAAAATATAATTACTTAATTTCCCCTTTCTCTTTTCTCCCTTCAGCCCCTTCTATGTACTCCACCCTTGTTCTCTCTCAAATTCACAGCCTCTGCCCTCTTTTTCTTTGTTGTTAAACATGTATATGTGTGTATAAATATATATGCACATCTACATAGAAAAATATAAATATATATATATTCCTAAATATATATATAAATAAATATAGCTATGACCTGCTCAGTCTACATAACGTTACTTGTATGTATATGATTTCAGGGCTGACCACTTAGATAACCAACTGGGGGACTCCTCTCTGAGAAGACTTTTCTCCTGCTCTTAGCATTCCTTATTCACCTGTAGGTCTCTTTGCAATAGAGACCATTACAGGAAACCACAACTAATCAAAATGCAAAAAAGAAAGGATCATGTGGTGCCCGGCCCCACAACTCCTGCACTTAAGGCTCAGGAAACATCATGGAAGAGGGGTCACAAAACTTATGGCAGAGGACCAGAAACGTCAGAGAATTGCATGGCCTGAACAAGGACAACATCAGCATACATGATAACATGGAAAAAGGAAACCTTATAGGAGCCCAACCCTATACTGACTGTATAAAGTAAAGTTGGATGTCAACAGGTAACAATACGTAAGATTAGGAGTCTGGATTGAATGTCTATTACTGCTCAATTACATGTTAATTATATTTTCAAGGTTTCAGTCTGTTTCAAACGGTATGGTCAATTCCCTATATGTGTTAGTTCCACATCTGCAGATACAACCAATTCTGTATGCAAATATTTGAAAAAAACATGTATCTGTGCTAACATCTTCAGACTCCTGCTGTTATCTCAATAACACAGTGTGATGTTCTCTGTGGCATTTGCACTCTACCCAGTACTAAAGGCAATATAGAGATGATTAAAAGTATTTGGAAATCTGTATAGTTTATACACAAAAGGCAAATTATGTGATATAAAAGGGACTTTAACATATGGAGATGTGGGTATCTGTGGAGAGTCCTGGAGCAAATCCCCCACAAAGTCTGGGCAGCTGTACAAACACAATGCTTCTCTGAGTGTTATCAAAAGAACTTGCATTTCCAGCATCACATGAGCAGATAAGCAACATAATCCCCAAGTCTGTGTTCCACACCACCCTCTGTATCATGAAAGCTTGGATGGGAGCCAAAGAGATAGTTCAGCTGTTTAGAGCACTGGCTGCTCTTCCAGAAGACCTGGGCTTGATTCCTAGCACCCACATGACAGTCAACAGCTGTGTGTAACTCCAATCCCAGAGGATTAGACAGCCTCTTCTGACCTCTGTGGGCACTACAAGCACATAGTACATCAACATAAACGCAGGCACATAACACATAATAAAAAAGTTAAAGTAAGCTTGAAAAGCCCAGTCACCAACTACCAGGGGAAGACGGGATAAGCCATCTGATATTTTTCTTTCATTTTTCTTTTCTAAACATTTCACCAATGTTACTAATATTTCTGCTGTAATCTAACATCTGTTTGGGCTCCATTTACATTTTAAACCATGCCTGTATAAACATTTAAGGTAATTTTAAAAGGCCTCGACTAGAGAATAGCTTAACCTCTAGACTTACCATCCTTTCCAGTCTAGTCATGTAAATTTTAGAAATTTAAATAAACTAAGGCTCAGCTGGAACTCCAGCACTGATGGGAGGGATGCTGTCCATGCCCCACCCCTTACTGAGGAGCTATTGGCAGGTGATAGCTGCTGAGAGAGGAAGAAACTTTTTTTGAGGGTGGGGCCACTGGTAGGTTCCCCCACTCCAGTGGATGGTCTTACATCCATGCACATATGGGCAGCCCTAACTGGACCTACTGAGTTTTCAGAAATAGGGGTGGGGGCTGGAGAGATGGCTTAGTCATTAAGAGCACTGATTGCTCTTCAAGAAGTCCTGGGTTCAATTCTCAGCAGCCAGATGACAGCTCACAGCCATATGTAATTCCAGTTCCAGGGGATATGAAACCCTCTTCCGGTCTTCTCAGTCACCAGACACACATGTGGTGCTAAGACATACATTCAGGCAAAACACCCCATACATGTAGAATAAGTTAATTTTTAAATTTGTTTTAATTTAAAAAGACATGAAATAGGGAGGGGACATGTTGGGAGGGACATAAAAGAAGTTGGAGGGAAAAGGAGGGTAATCATATTTTATTGTATTCATTCATGAAATTCTCAAAAATAAAATTTAAGGCATGTGTCTGTACAAAGAAAACAAATACTACATAAATTGTGGTGAATACTAAAAGACATAGCAAGTGTAAACACTCTGTTCCAAATTATCAATATGAATATACATATTTGTGTCTATTGTGTGTGTGTGTGTGTGTGTATGTGTATAAACCATATGACCATTTTCCTCAAACTTAGGCTCAGCTGGTTGTAGAGTTTTAGGGATATTCCAAAGATTACACAAAGGCAAGGAATAAACAAAATCCATCTTCACAATCCAGCTTTAATACAGAGTTTTGCTGTTAGTGATGAAATCTAAATGTAACTACAAAGAAAATTGAACAGAGATGAAGCAGAGGTAAGAATCTTAAACCTTATTCAAGCACTTTTCAGGTGTTTTGAAACAGGGTCTTATGTATCCCAAGCTGGCCTTGAGTTCCTGACTCTCCTGTCACTACTTCCCTGCGACTGGGTTTTTCAGGTGTACACCACCATGCCTGGCTTTATTTAAGCAAGCAAAGTCTATATGTGGCCCATGGAAGTCTGAGGGCTCACAGAATCAAACTGAATACTATATCTTTTATGTTGATGCATGTACAGAAGTTTGCACACACTGCCTGCTGAATGCCTCTGGACAGCATCCCATACTGTTTTAGGCCATCCTTATATTCTTCATTCCTGTGTCCTTGCTGTAAAGAGAGAAAGCTGGTTTTGTTTAAGATCTGAAGCAGTAAAAAAGTATTTAAATATCAGTCCTTAAGTGCAAGTTTCTCAACACTGTGAGTGGCCAAAGGGAAAACACGCAGAAGTCATCGATGGATAAAGATCTTCTCATGGCAAGCTGTGTGCACTGGCTTGTATCACATACTTGACCAACCCTTCTATTCAATAACCTGATGGATTTGTACAGAAAAATGCACGTTTAGATGTGTATTCTAAGACAGGGGCTAGGAGATAGAGCCTAAGCTTGAAATACAACTTAAGTCTACCAGCATAGAGATGCCAATTAGAGTAACTAATATGGATGAGCTCACCAAGAGGGAATATAGGGACATAAGATTAGCCACCTAGAGACTCACCCTTAACCCCAGAATATGAAGATAAGTTTCAGTCAGGATGGATCTCCTGAAGAGAGCAGTATCACCCATCAACTTGTTATAGTTTATGCAATTCTTTCTGGAAGGCTACCTTGTGGGAATAACATTCTGCACTCTGCACCATCTACACTTCACATCTTTCTTACATGGGATCCCACATACTAAACTCACTTCAGTCAAGCCTTCACTAAGACAGTTCATGAGTTCCATATTGGCAAATCTAGAAGCTGAGTCTCAGTCTTGGCAGCAGCACCAGACACAATGGAAAAACATAAGAATTCCAATTTCCTATTGGAAAAATGTAAGTTGGGACACTTCCATGACACAACACCCTTCCTTAGTGACCTGTTTGTTGTGTTGTAGGATTCTGGAGCAAGCTCAGGGCTGAGCTTTGAAGCTAACAGTCAGTGTACTTTCTTTCACTTCATTAGTTGTCCTCATTTTCATGTGATTTGGGCCAATGAGAATGAGTTTGGCCCAGCACCCTTAACAATGTGTGCTCAGAAGCATAGACTTCCATATTGCTTTGAAATTACCTTTACAGATATACTGGATAATTTAAATTCACAGATGAATTAGAACACCCCTTTCAAAGCCCAAATTCAAGCTGAGAGACACATGCTCTTTGAGTGTTTCATATTTTAATGTGGGAGAAGGAATCATCATGTGGCCTGACTTATAAGGAAGCTCTCATACGGTAACAGCTTTATTAGAGCTTTGGCCTCC